GAGAGGACCTTTGAGCATGTGCAGAATGTCTTATCCTAACCACTGATCTTATATTAAGGATATAGGCACCCAGATCAACTGTTTATATGATTTACAGGCCAACTTGAGCTCCAGCACTGTATTAAAAATGTATATTTTATCATTTTATTGGCATATGATTAAGCATTGGTTTTAGAATTATAATTTATTAATGGTGGTCCTTCAGACACTTGGCTCAAACAAAAGTTTTGTCATTCTTAATCCATTATTTCAGCATGCTCCTGGATGATATATATAGAACACTTTAATTTTCAGTTTCCATTGATTGCACCTGAAAGCAGATAATGTTTGTAGGAATGTTCGTTTTTGTGGCTTTGTTCTCCATCCACGATTCACATCCTTTCGAAACCTATCTGTTGAAAGCATAATTCATTTACAACAGTCTTCTTTATCTATACTAGTCACGCTACAATGTGGTGCTTTCTTGTATCTGATTTTATTTGCTCTTAAAAGTCAACATTAAAAAGGCAAGAGATGTTTTGTTTTACAATTAACTAAAGCAAATAACTTTGAAAACATGAGTTTTAAACCGGTGAAATAGTCACATCTTGGATTTCCCTCTTAGATATTTCGGTAGTTGTAATCCAGAGCAGCCACAGCCAGTCTAGAAATGGGATTGTGGGAAGGTCTATAGTAAGGGTGGGAAACCTATGATCCTCCAGATGTTGATGGACTCCAACTCCCATCAGCCCCAGCTAGCATGGGGATGGTGGGAATTGTATTCCAGCAACATTTTGCTAAAGGTTTCCCACATTTAATCTATAGACTATTCCCTTGTTGTTGTTGTTTAGTCGTTTAGTCGTGTCCAGCTCTTTGTGACCCCATGGACCAGAGCACGCCAGGCACTCCTGTCTTCCGCTGCCTCCCATAGTTTGGTCAAACTCATGTTGGTAGCTTCGAGAACACTGTCCAGCCATCTCGTCCTCTGTCGTCCCCTTCTCCTTCTTCTCCTTCTCCTTCTCCTTCTCCTAGACTATTCCCTACTAATACCAATATTCCCATCAAGTGGTTGGTGATTTTACAAACCTTCTGATAAGTGATCTAGATAAGAGGTAGCCAACCATATATTTTGGACTACAACTCCCATCAGCCCCAGCCAGCATGGCATACAGTAGAGAATGATGGGAATTGTAGTTTTATTATTATTAAAAAAAAACACCCTGAAAGACTACTCCTGATCTACATTGTTCCACAATCTCATATAATCTAGTGCACATTTTGTGCAAACACTCTTATTCCTGTACTTGCTGGATTATATTGAACAAGAATGACTCATCTGCTATTCATGCTAGCAAGAGGAAATACACCAGCTTTCTAAATAACAGGTAGAATAACTCTAGTTGCCATGGGCAATGGTAACAGCTGCTCTGAATGAGCTTTGGTGTCTCTTCCCTGTGCCCCCATCCTCTCTATTAAATACAGTTTTATAGATTATTGTATTCGACTATGATCACTTATATAAATGTGTTGTGACAGCCACCTCCTTCTTAAACACAGAGAACCAACATAATATTCTGAGAGCATTTGAAAGGGTTAGGAGGTGCCTCATTTTGTTTGGATTCTTACAAACCAAATCTGTGTGCCACACTGCGTGAGTGAGATGTTAACAATATCTCTCCCCCCCCTTCTTATGTTTGTGATAAGGAAGGAAAGTGCCCTGTTGTTTAGCTGAATAAGGCAAGGTTGTTATTAGCATGCCGAAGGTAATCTCAGTACCTCTGGGAGGCTTTAATCAAAGTCTTGTGTCCTGATTGAGATGCAATGTTCAAAAGTGGGGGAACTTATTAACGAAATAAAAATCTAGGAGTGTTTTCCGTGCAAACATTCATCAGCATATCTTATGTAATTACATAACCGATAAATCAACATAGTGTGTAAGTGCTTTAGTCATGGTGTAAATATCTTAATGACTGAAACATCTTTTGCTCATGAATAATGCATATCTGTATGGTTCATTTTTCATACTCATGCTTTTTTACTTGCATATGATAAACTAATCTGTCTCTGTCGGGGGAGATGCACTTGATTATCGTCTTCTGATCTCTCTTTCTCGTATTTAGTTTTGCTTCCTTGACCCGCACTCCATGACTTCTGCTTTCTCTAATTTGGTGGCAGCGCTTCCTCACCTGGTCTGCTTGATTTGGGTTCCTGGTGCGCCATTATAATAGGACGTATCTGTATACAGTGGTACCTCAGGTTAAGTACTTAATTCGTTCCAGAGGTCCGTACTTAACCTGAAACTGTTCTTAACCTGAAGCACCACTTTAGCTAATCGGGCCTCCTGCTGCTGCTGCTGCTGCTGCTGCTGCGCCGCCGGAGCACAATTTCTGTTCTCATCCTGAAGCAAAGTTCTTAACCTGTAGCACTATTTCTGGGTTAGCAGAGTCTGTAACCTGAGGTGTATGTAACCCGAGGTACCACTGTAGTCAGTCCTAACTCAAACATTGTCTAGATGTAACAAATGGAGGGAGACCTTCCCGCAGAAGTGGCAGGATATCCGTGTTCCTATTTGTTTTCCCATTCCTGCAATTAGGCCTGTACAGAGCTTGTCAGACGCCTAAGGCAGGAACCTTGTTAGAATAAAGTTATAAACTCAAACAAAAAAGCAGCCGGTCCCTGGTGGGGGGCCCCTACCTGCTTAGCTCTCCAAGGCCTGGGACAAGTGTACTCTGCTGCCCCCTGCCTCTGCCTACAATGAAAACTCAGCAGAATGGCCCAGAGGTCAAAGACAGGCAGCAACATTTTGGAATACAGGACTTCCAGGATTCAGTTTGCTCCTTCCTTAGTTGAATGCAGACAGATTGCCATTTGCTCCCATTCTTTTCTCTCTCCTCGGGTCTTTTAAATATACGTACCTTGTATTGTGCCTTTTTAAAGATAAAGGGACCCCTGACCATTAGGTCCAGTCGTGGCCGACTCTGGGGTTGCGGCACTCATCTTGCTTTATTGGTCGAGGGAGACGGCGTACAGCTTCCGGGTCATGTGGCCAGCATGACTAAGCCGCTTCTGAAGAACCAGAGCAGCGCACGGAAACGCTGTTTACCTTCCCGCCGGAGCAGTACCTATTTATCTACTTGCACTTTGACGTGCTTTTGAACTGCTAGGTTGGCAGGAGCAGGGACTGAGCAATGGGAGCTCACCCCGTCGTGGGGATTCGAACCGCCAACCTTCTGATCGGCAAGTCCTAGGCTCTGTGGTTTAACCCACAGCGCCTTACATTGCTGTTTTTTCCTCGTTGGCTTGCTCTGCCTTTATTCTGCTAGACCCCAAGCCCCTTTTCCAGCATTTCCCCCTCAGTTTCTGGAGTTATTAAAGATTCCAAGTGTGGCCTCTCACCCTCCTCCTCCCGCCACTTGAAATCTCGCTTTGTTTGGCTTTCTTGCAAGTCTCCTCTATGCAGACTTGGTGCTAGATTTAGGTTCATGGGTCCAAACAAGGACATGGCGTGGGTAGGAATGTCATTTGTTGTTAGTAATGAAATGAAATAATAATAATTTAATAATTATACCCCGCCCATCTGGCTGAGTTTCCCCAGGAACACTTTTGGGTAGCGCCCATGACTCTCAAAATCAAATTCCAAGCAAAGTTTAGGTCCCAAATAGATGTTACATGAAATATATGGTTACCTTAAATTACAGAACTATGTGATTAAGAGCAGCTTCAGGGAAAGGCAGGCAAGGATAACATTGGGGGGGGTGGAGAGAGATACAGCTGCACACCTGCAGGGACAAATAGCAGCCAGTGGGCACCATTTTGATCAGGAAACTGTCTCTGGTTAATTTAAGTCAGCGCTTTAAAGAGGGTGGGGAAGTGTAAATAGCATAATATGTAGGGTTCCCTTAAGTTGAATTGTTGGTAACAGCTGCCTATCTAGGGATGCCAGACAGATGGCATTGTGACTCTCAGTTGTGCTAATTCATCATCCAGGGCTTCTCAGATCCTGTGCTATTCTGTATGCTTATTGCTGCTAGCCCAAACAGCACACCGGGGTGTAACATGATCAGAAGAAGTAGTACAGACCAGAACAGGCGATATGGCACAGATTGTGCTGATTGTTACCTCCTCAGGTTTAATGCTTCAAGACTAATTGCTCAGTAAGATGTAGTGAGACTGGTATCTGAGTGCAGCATTACACAAGAAGACTGAGACTACTATAAATGCAAACCTCAGTGGAGCAAATATCATTCATGCTTCCCTGCCCTCATTCCTGGTGCTGAAGTCAACATTTTTTAAGACATCAAGTTCCAAAGTCAAATTCAGCCTGACAGAGAGTACCAAAATATTTTCCTGGCAACTTCTGGCAGGGGAGGAAATGCACATAAACATTTTGTTTTGGAAACCCCGTTTTGATTAATTGGTTAATCAATAACTTTAAGATGAAAGAAAGATGCAGTCTTAAGGACAACTGTGGCGTTTGCCCTCCTAGGTGTGTGACATCATACTGGGTTCATAAGGAAAGGGTTAACTAATTGTAAAATGACTAACCAATGGGAACCCAAGGGGTGGAGTGAATTGTGTATAAGGTTTAAGCACAGAGGGGTTTGGGGGGAGTAAGGAGTTAGGGTGGTTGAGAAGACAGTCTGGAGTTAGAAGAGATGGGGAAGATAAGTCTGTGGGTTGGGCTAGTCTGGTGTGAGAGAGGGAGAGAATTTGTTAAGAGGAGTCAGTCAAACAGTTGAGATAATCAGTCAGAAGGTATTAGGAAGGTATCGGCCGGTAAAGAAACTAAAGTTAAGATACTGACAGGAATATTATCTGAGAAACCATAAACTTGTTAATACTTATAAAATAACTTGTTTTTTTGGTTCACTTTTAACAACTGGCTGGACTCGGTGTTTTACCCGAGGGTAACGGGTTGGTGGCAGCGGGGAAGCACTCACAGTGGTGGCACAGGGATCAATAGACCGTTAAACGTCCAAGGACCCTGTGTGATCGCCCACAATAACCTTTGCTTTTTACAGATTCGGTAGCAACAGCTTCTGGGCCGCTGCTTGTCGAAGTGGCCAAAACTGCTGGTTCCGCTCTGGGAGTTGCACTATCTACCTCGATGTGCTGTAGCAAACAAGTGATCATCATAGACAAAATAAAATCTGCAAGTATTGCAGACAGGTGAGTGCTGCAGGAGAGTTCTCCGTGGTATGTAACCCAACTGGTTTCCATCTGACAATATAATCAAGCAGCAGAGTCTATCACTCTGAGAAGAAGCAATTAGGGCAGGTTAGAAGTGCCCTGCATAGCTTGTGGATTACAGCAAAAATTATAGGCAAGACAAAGAAACCCAGTAGCTTGGATCCAAAGGTGTCCTGTGTAAACGGAAAGACACTCCTGCATCCAGTTTATGCCCATTTCCTCCATGCCACTTCTTATGCCACCTTGCCTTTAGGGGCTGGAGTGAGGAAGCAGGGGCAGGAACACTTCATTGCATGAGTAGGGTTCTGCTTGCATCCCAGGAAGGCCATGTTGGGCCTGGCAGTCTCCAGGAGACACTACAAAAAAAATCATCATCATCATCATCATCATCATCATCTGGACATTTTGCAATATTTTAAAAATCCGCTTGGATGGTGATTTTGCCTCTTAAAAAGACAACATATCCAGGAAAATCTGGATGTATGGCAGCCCTATATAACTCTCAAATAACTCATTAAATTATGAACTTTTTGGCACTTGTGTAAAGGGGTAGCCTCCGTCAGCTAAGCTGCTCCCACTTATTCTACTGCTTGTTCCAAGTCCTGTGAGTGATGACTTGGCTATCTCCCTGCATTGGTTTTTGGCAGAACATTGCAACTATAACCTAATTAATAATGCAATCTAATCTTCCAATCATTTTAAAGATTTGCACTAAAGGTTTGACGAGTCTTTTACAGATAGTTTTCTCTAATTTAAAAAAAAGCAGAATAGAAAGAAGAAGCTGTTTATCCATTTGAAAAGAAGTGAATCCTTGTTCTCCAAGGAAAGATCACAGTGTGCTACATTTTCTTCCACAGATGTGGCGCATTACATGTAGGAGATCATATTCTCTCCATTGATGGCACCAGCATGGAATACTGTACATTGGCAGAAGCGACACAGTTCTTGGCTAATACTTCTGACAATGTCAAGCTAGAGATCCTTCCTCATCATCAGACAAGGCTGGCTCTTAAGGGACCAGAACATGGTAGGAAGACTTGAAGTTCTACATTTAACACCATCCTTTTCTCCATGTTTCTTCCTGTGGAAGAACTCTTGAAAGTTGATGTTACGGAAATTTTAAGTGGGTTTGTTGTTGTTGTTTCTTTGGTCTTCTACTCTTAAAACCTCAATTTCAAGTGTGCTTTTAAAGTTCTTTAGCCAAATTCTGATCAGGTTTACTCAGAATTACTCTTTGAATTTAATGCTTAAGATAGATTTGATGATATCTAAGTCAGATTTATTTGAAATCAAATGCATTTTAAGAGTCAGTTGGGAATCTGCCCTTAACTTCTGTGAGACAAGAGAAAAAAGAACCACAGCTCAGTGGTAAGAACATCTGCCTTCCATGCGAAAGGGCCTAGGTTTAATCCCTGGTATTTCTAGTTGGGCTGGAAAAGGCTCCCCAACTGAAACTCTTGGCAGCTATCAGATAGTGTGGATAATCCTGGGCCAGATGGACCAAATGTTGACTCAGTGTAAGACCGCTTGCTATATTCCGATGCTCCTACAATTCTAAAATCCAAGGGTATGTATTATTTTGCATTACCTTGAACTTCATAGTTGCCTACAAAGAAAAGGGATGTGCTTTGCAACATACATAATCCATTGTTTACCTTCATCTATAAAGAGAATTGATTAATAAACAGTACAGTCGTACCTTGGTTTTCGAACAGCTTAGTTCTCAACGAAACGTTTTGGCTCCCAAACGCCGCAAACCCGGAAGTGACCTTCCAGTTTGCGAAACTATTTTTGGAAGCTGAACATCCAAACAAGGCTTCCACGGCTTCTGATTGGCTGCAGGAGCTTCCTACAGCCAATCAGAAGCCATGCTATGGTTTTCGAACATTTTGGAAGTCGAACGGACTTCCGGAACAGATTCTGTTTGACTTCCAAGGTGTGACTGTATATTCTAAGTGTGTAATGCCACCTGTTTTTTAAATTCAGCATCATGCTTTAAGAAGTCTTATTTTCATACGATATACACCTATTCAGGATTGGATTATTATGCACTTGGTTTACTAGAAGAGGCCAGAATTAAACTTGCTCAAGGAAAATTATATATTTTTTCTAAATCAGTAGCAGACACAGTGATGGGTTATCCATGCTGGACTATTAAGAATTAATGGCATATTTTATTGCCAAGGGCAGTGATAATGTGTTAATACCTTAATAAAGAGAGAGCTTGAGGGCAGAGCATAATATGGCTAACTAACCACTCTCAATAGGCACAGGCGTGCTCCACAAAGAGATGGTTCAATGGGAGAAAAAAATGTTACATGTGATGGCTCCTTCCTCCACATGTAGCTGCTGGGTGACCTTGGGCCAGTCACACTTCTTTGAAGTCTCTCAGCCCCACTCACCTCACAGAGTGTTTGTTGTGGGGGAGGAAGGGAAAGGAGAATGTTAGCTGCTTTGAGACTCCTTAAAGGGAGTGAAAGGCGGGATATCAAATCCAAACTCTTCTTCTTCTTCTTATGGCATTCTTTGGTTCACATATCTTCATGCTCCATTAAGGCTGCAGGCCAAGGCAGCCATGCTTTCATTGCACAGGGAAAAACATACCTCACCCCATTTGGAATGTTTGGCTGCCCCAGCACTTCAACAGTGTCATGTCGCACTGCAAGATGTATAAGGACTCCCTTGCCATTCATTCTATGTGTGCTCTGTAGAAACATCACGTTTCCTCCACTCCCCTGTTGCAGAATTGCCAGTGTAACGTCTCAGCTTGATGGTTTTAAAGTCTAATCATCTCCAGGAAAGTTTGCCGATCCTCTATATCAGGAATTGGGGAAACTGTGGCCCTTCAGATGTTGTCGGATTCAACTCCCTTCAGCTCCAGCCAGTGTTGGGAGGTGTAGCCCAATAACATCCAGGGGACCATAGAGTTCTCCACCCCTTCTATGTGCTAAGAGCATGGACTCTTATGTGCCCAAAACGGCACAATCCTCACCAAGAAGAAGGTATGAGCAGATTTGGGGGGAACCCCAAGATTTACAAAGCTGCAAAAAAAAATATTGAGGAGGAAATCCCCAAAACAGGATATTGAGGGCTGATTGTGCATAGTGAGCACAGAATGCTGACTGACTTTTGGGATGTGTGCTCCGGCAGGCAAAAATAGAAGTAGTGGTGGAAATGTAATAACACCCTGAAATAGGGCATGTAAATTCTGAACTGGAGCACTCCATGCTTTAACCTTGTATGGCAAATCCCACGTGTACTTCAAATAATGTGAATCTCCTTAGTAAAAGCCCTCCGTATAAAATAGCAGGAAGAATTAAGCAGGTGGATCCCTGCTTTTAAAATCACTGAAGGGAAGGGAACCTTTGGCTCTAACATAATATTTCACATTTGCAGCAGAAGACATTTTAATTAGTTGACTTATTTTTACTTTATAACTCTAAATTTTCCTCATTTTTATCCCTTTTCTTACCTATTTCTTTTCATAATAGAATTCTCATTAGCTTTATATAGGGTTATATGTATTATATATATATTGTTAGTGCCCAAATATTAAAGCTTTATCCCTAGTGCAGTACCCTAAGAACGAAATTTGCAAAACAAAAGGCCCGCAAAGAGTATTCCCTTAACCCTTGACATAAATTCACTGATGAAGTTTTTTATTTTGCTTAGAGTTGAATATCCTATGCTGCAAGTTTCAGTTGATATAGTTTGAAATGTTATAAGCAGCCCTGTTCAGGGAAGTTTTTAACGTGTGATATTTTACTGTATTTGTGGTTTTTATGGAAGCCGCCCAGAGTGGCTGGGGAGGCCCAGCCAGATGGGCGGGGTATAAATAAATTATTAATTATTATTATTATTATTATTATTATTATTATTATTATTATTATTATTATTTTATCATTTTCTGACTGTAGTAAATTGACAGGTTCTCTCCCCCGCCCCCTTCTTTTAATTTTTGTTTAAGGTGTAGCTGACACAAACCTAACTAGGATCAGGAATCATGCGCCTTTATTGCAGTGGGCGAAAACAGTCTGAAAACCACGCATCAGAACAATAAATGATGACTTTAGATTTCTGCTTTGTTTTTATTAAATAAAGTCGCCTAAATGGAATTTTTGTGCTGATGCTTGGGAGTTCGTTCTCCAGGATAATATAGTGCCACTGATGAATGCCGGTAAAATTAAAATGTCAAAGCAGTAAATTGAAATGACTGGCATGTAAAACGCTCTGAATTCCAGTGCATGGTCCCTTGATATATGGTCCCTTGTTTTATTTTTAATTTTTTATATATATACAAGTTCTTTTAAACGGGTGGATATTTTCAGAACTTCAGAATTACTAATTGTAGATCATGCATCCTGGTAATGTTGACTCAAATGGGTTCTTTTAAGTGTTTAATCATAGCAGCTAAGGGCAGAGGCAGATTAAAAACTGATTGAATACTGATCACTTTAAAAAAGGGGTGGCACGAAACCCATTAGTTCTGAGTCTATGAGTGGTCACCATCCCTGGGATAAATTCTAGTGTTATCTCACCACCAAGGGGGGGGGCGGGGAAGGCAACAGAGTTCTTTTTCTTTTCAGGTTGCTTTTATTTCTATTCCTTTTTAAATTTATGTAATCCAGTTACCTTTCCCTCTTCTCTGGTCCTTTTGTTTGTTTGTTTTTTATTTCTTCTCATCCCTTCATGGTGGGCAGCGAAGGTTCAAAGGAGCAACAGGCAGCTCACCTGGAATCCCTATGCCAACAGCCACAGCAGCACTCTCACCTCTCACCATTACAATACCTACCACCCTGACCATTGCAGGATGCCAGCTTTGAAATGCCAGAAAACATCACCTCCAAAAAGCCTTCGTAATGTTCCATGCTTTTTTTCCTCCTGACATTATTATTATTATTATTATTATTATTATTATTATTATTATTATTTATTGTCGTCGTCATCACCATTTACTCTACCTCACCCTCTTCCTCTCATACTCCCCACCCCCATTTTCATTCTTTGAAATCTTTCGTTAATTTGCAACGTCTCATGATTTCTCACAATCATGTGAGGTTATTTCTGACATTGTTTTCCCCCCTCTCCTGCCTTAACTTAACCGGTCTTTAGAAAGAGGGGGGGGAAGACGTGATAACTCAAAAGGTTTACAAAACTCAGTTCAGTACCTTATAAGAGAATGCAACCTTTTTCCATTCAAAGCCAATGTCAGAAATCACCTTTTCCAAAGAATGTATTGCTAGACCCACTGCGTTAAATGTGCGTTGATTCACATAGCTGTGTCCGTAACCCTGTTGTGGTGCTTTTATCTAAGCGTTTGATCAACTTACAATGAATTCAACTGACTTTGAACTACAAAACGGTTGACATTGGTGGCATTCATTAAGAACTGATTGCATACTTGGATGGAAGTATCATGGCAGGACTGCACATGGTGTGTTTGTTATAACAAACAGGTGTTTTGTATGGTTCACCTGACCCTGAATGTGCTACACAGCCTTTTTTTAATATAGTTTGTGATTTTGTTACTGTATGCACACAAACCGTTCTCGTGAGCCATACCAGGGTCTAGATTTCTAACAGCCAATAGCGGGCATGCAATTCCCCGGCTCCCTATTTCAGAGCACCTGGTGCCAAGTGATTCCCTTTCTTTCAACAGCACTCGTATCTTCGTCCTTCTCTCCGGCCTCCATGAGCGCGTACAGTCTGAGTTCCCTGAACATGGGGACTTTACCTCGCAGTCTCTACTCTACCAGTCCACGTGGCACCATGATGAGAAGAAGGATGAAAAAGAAGGACTTCAAAAGCTCATGTAGGTGACCATAAGGGGTTTTTTTTAATGTATAATGAAGCCAGGGCTGTTAAATGCATCTGACAAATGACATGAAAGTGCATTGAAATTCAGATTTGTTAGGAACCACCGTGAGAGGGGATGCTTTACAGCAGGACAAGAGTTAGTGTTTGACCACATGCTGTACTTCCATCGCCATATCCCAAATCAAAGAGGTTTGGTTTCTTCTGCCCTCTAATTGTGTGTTCTGCATCTACAAGTCATAATCTGGGTATCGTTTTAGTGTGGCAACAGGTTTAAAACCCAGTGTTTACCAGAATGCAAAATCTAGGATTTAAAAATGAAGTCATATCACACAGTATTCTTCAAAGTAGACCAACTTTTAATGAAACGAATTTCTTTCTTCTTGAGCTATAAGATGTGGCAGGTGACTGTCAGGACTATAGATAGAATGATCTCTGTTGTGTTGGTAGTAAAGGCACCCTGATGTCTGAGCACAGTGTCAGCACAATGCTTTCACTTGCTTTAAGTGGTAAGCTATTCCACTGAATTTTGCCCTTAACTGAATTACTGACCCTACTTAATTTGTAAGCTATTAGTATTATTTTTCAAGCTATGGTCTAAGGTAACTGACTATGCCTAGTTATTTTGTTAGTGCCTTGCTCTTTTGTTGCTGTTAGGATGAACCAGTCAACAGGCTACAAGGAATATTTTCTGAAACTCCTTGATTCAAATCCATGCTGTAAAGGGGTTACTTTGCTCAAATTAACAATAACAGCCCTTTTCACATATTTCTTATGCACATTAATGCACCAGTCATTGCAAAACACTTTTTTGTATTATTGCTAATATTAAATAGGCATGGTTATAAATTGTTTGCCTCCTTTCATGGAAAACTGATGTGTCACACAGGAATTAATTGTGTCTGTTGTAAAAATGAGCAGTTGATTAAAACACAGAAAACAAGTTTTCCCTAAAAGCCTTCTCCAGTTCTCTTATTTGTTTATTTGTTGGTGGAAGGAAGCAATAAATGCTTGAGAAAACACTTAGGGCCCTTCCAGAGTCCTTTTTATTGAGCATTCATCATGATTTGTGCTCATGATGTTATCGGGCTGGTTATACATGATCACACTTTCGGGACCATTTGTGCCTGCAAGGGTTCTGGGGCAGTCGTATTGCTTTGTTTGCAATAGGTGCACGCTCTGTAGTTCCTTGCTAAAAATCCCGTAACGTTCCTTGCTAAAATCCCGCTACCACAAATATTCCAGGATTTGTTTCCCTCTCACTTTTTTGTGCGTTAGCACAAAAATGCTCCTCTAAACGACAAAGGTTTGTGGTTAACATGGGAGAAGCATTGCAGAACACTAATAAAGCAGAAGGATGTGTGGGTGCTCTGATATAAATCCGCCACTAATGTACCATTATTGTATCAATTACATGTTGGGGGTGAGGAGGGGGGAAGCCACCAATTAGCAAAGTCCCAACAATAAGATTTTCCATACTTAAAAATCCACACATAAGAAGAGTTGTTTTCTGCTTACATTTAACTGGTCGTCTCCTTCAACCTATGGCAACAAGTTTAGCTTGTCTATGAGCTCCTCCTCTTAACTGGAAATATCAAAACAAATAGCCAGCCTTTTCCATCATCTAGCAGAAGTGTGGAAGCCTGGTAGTGCTTGTTATAGAACCTAATGTATTATTTGGCAAATAGTTATTTATACACAAACACGCAGTATCTGTTGCACATACCCTCTTTCTTTCTATAGCACTTTCAAGGTTTGATGTACTAACTAGTTACTAACAAGACATTTTAAAATGCAAGTTTTAATGAATGTATCTGCCTTGGAAGAGTCTAGAATATGTATGACTGAAGGATGCTATAAAGTTTTCATTGCCCTTTGTGTAGAAAAGTCTGCATAACTAATGTGATCTTCCCAAACGCCTGGCAATAAACTCTGGTGGTGTAGGGAACCATAAACATTTTATTAACAGAAGTTTGCAGTGGCTGCATTACTTATGCAGCTTTTTTCAAACATATAGCCATAAAACTTAAAGATACCCCACACTGTCATTCTGTTTATTACACTTGTTTTGGCTTGGTTTGTTTTCCTTTATTATTATTTTTAAAACTCTTAGTTTTTAATGTTTAAAGTATGTTCTTCATACCTCGTGTATTGTAGCTTATTACTTGCATTGGGCAAGCATTAGTGTCTATCTATTAAGGGGAATGTAAGTTGTGTGGTTAATGTGCATAACAACCAGCCACTGTGCACATTCACCAGGTCTCATGGAGAATGTGCACATAATCCTCATGGGAATTGTACACAAGCCAGAAGCAGCCCTGGGTGGTGGGTGAGTTTGTGCACACTTCTGTAAAGGAAATAGAAAAAAAGTGTTTATTGGAGACTGTGCATACTGACTACAGAATGTGCATATTGCCCAGAGAATGTACGAAATGCAGTCAAGATTCCCCCAGGTCTGTTGGGGATTATGCATAATGACTGGAGAATGTTCAAAATTCAGTTGATATATGCTTATTTCCCTAGGTCTGTTGTGGATTACATTCCTTCTTACTCCACTGATAGACTCCCCAGCTAGATCAAAGTGCCTTCTGCCCCCCTCTTTGTGCCTGTGTATGAAGTAAAAGGGTTTTTAAATAAACTGTATCATCATTTGGCAACAATTCCAGATGGTCCATTACATAGCAGTTATTTCTTTGATTACAGAAGAAATGTATCATTCAGTGAATAACTGGATTAAACTTCATTTGTCAACAATATCAGTTAAGCAATATGGAAAAAAATATTTAAATATTGCTCACTGTGTTGATCATAATAAATAGTTTTTGAGATAGAAATCATTTATAGATGATGATGATGATAATAATAATAATTTTTTACTTATACCCCGCCCTCCCCAGCCAAGGCCGGGCTCAGGGCAGCTAACAAGCAATAATAAAAACAAGTTGAATGAATACAACTTAAAAACAAGATTAAAATACAACATTAAAATATTGAAACATTAAAATATTAAAATGCAGCTTCATCACAGGAGGAGAAAGGAAAAAGAAAAAAGAAAGAGAGGGCGGAACAACTCTGTCTTACAGGCCCTGCAGAAATAAATCAGATCCTGCAGGGCCCTGGTCTCATGAGGCAGAGCGTTCCACCAAGCCGGAGCCAGAGTTGAAAAGGCCCTGGCTCTGGTTGAAGCCAACCTAACTTCCTTAGGGCCCGGGACCACTAGGGTGTTGCTATTTATGGACCTTGAGGCTCTCCGTGGGGCATACCGGGAGAGGCGGTCCCGTAGGTACGAGGGTCCTAGGCCGTGAAGGTCTTTAAAGGTCAAAAGCAGCACCTTAAATCTGACCCTGTACTCCCCCGGGAGCCAGTGCAGCTGGCTCTTTGATGCACTTTGATGTACTTGATATATTGATGGGTTTTGTGTCAGAAATTGTTTTAATTTGTGTTGCGTCTTTCTAAATGCCACTGATGTGTTTTATAGTGTCGCTAGCTTCTAGCACTGTTGGCCTGGCAGGGCAGGTTGTCCACACAGAAACTACAGAAGTAGTGCTGACAGCTGACCCCATTGTCGGATTTGGAATACAGCTCCAGGGCAGTGTGTTTGCTACGGAGACCTTGTCATCTCCACCTCTGATCTCCTATATTGAGGCTGACAGTCCAGCAGAAAGGTGAGGTGCTTTGAAATGATTGCTCCTAACTTTTACTGCTGAGAACTTATCTCTGGGTGCTTTGGCCTAGTTATTTTCAGGTTTTAGGAAAATTATAGAAAATTGGTGGTACCTAGTGAATTTCCTGTCCTGAAAATAAGGGATTAAAAAAATAGAAAATCTTGATAAGGTATGAGAAGAACAAAAAGCAATGGTGCCTTTATCTAGAGACGATTACTTCCGACAGGCAACTGGGAGCGATGTTAATTAGAGATTTTTTTCCTAATGGAATTCTAATTCTTAGTTCAAAGACCTTGAAATTTTTTGATTCTAAATTGGCAGAAAGTACATCTATCTCTGCTTAGTTTTTGCTGAGATCAAATCTTTAAAACACCAGAGTTTTGGATTATTAATTTCTTAACTGGTACATTTCAAATGTGCTCATAATAAAATCATGAGAATAAATTTAGACGTACAATATTGAGATAGTTGGGTTTGTTCTATTACCCCTCTATTGAAAAGTGCATTTATTTTGGCTTTGATCTCCCCTGTGTCTGAATGCTCATTTGTTCTCTTTTGTGTCAAGGTGTGGCACCCTACAAATAGGAGACAGAGTACTGGCTATAAATGGGATCCCGACAGAAGACAGCACATTTGATGAAGCTAATCAGCTTCTTAGAGACTCATCTATCACCAGCAAGGTCACTTTGGAAATAGAATTTGATGTTGCAGGTACGAATAATCAAGTATTTTCTCTTACTTGAATGCAAGCTCAACCCTTCACTTTTGAATCTGAAGCTGCTATCACACATGCATATACAACCTCCATCTCTTTCTGCAATCTTTAATTCATACTGAATATTTCAAAACTCAGGCAGAAATGACAAGTATTCTATTATTTAGGATGTGAAATCAATCTTCTCTTTCTCACATATTTTCGTATATGCCAGTTTTATTCTGCTGATTGCTCAAAGACAGAAGGCACCAGAGTTTGGGGGAATGGTTACCTGCTGGTTGTGCAAAACAGAAGCGCTAGGGACGCAGTATGTTGCTGAAAATTTGGACATAATGTGTAATTTGGAAACAAAGATTCAAATTTTGTACACTGACATGATTAAACTAAGGTGCGCATTTCAAAGCTTGGGGCCTGCTCTTAATCCCCATATGACACCTGCTGTCATGAGGAAACTCCCATTGACTGAAAAGAGACTTGGAATTCTTAGGTACAATCCTTCCCAGAGTTACACATGTGAGTGTGGAGGGATTGTCATAGGATTAATTGAATTGTTTTTCCCTCCCTCCTTCCTCTTTGTACTTGCACACCACAGTGCACCCTCTAGTTCAGTGGTTCTCAACCTGTGGGTCCCCAGATGTTGTGGGACTACAACTCCCATCATCCCTGAGCTCTGGCCTTGCTAGCTAGGGGTGATGGGATTTGTAGTTCAACAACGTCTGGGGATCCATAGGTTGAGAAAGGCTGCTCTAGTTGCTGAAACAGGAAGCTGGTACACTTCCTGTTTCCCCATTAAGCTCTGAGTCCTCAACCTGGGGCCTGGCCCAGAATTTACTTTGAAGGGCTGGGTTGAAAAACTGATGGAGAGGCAGGAAGTAGCCTCCAGTTCTAGATCACAGGAAATGCTCTGAGATGAATGTACAGTGGAAAGAGGAAGGGAGGAGGGCTCCATTGACCCTATGGGGATCTGTGCATGGTCAAATGTGCTTTCGCTGGGAGGAATTCTGTCCCTATTTACTGGTAGATGTCTACAGGACATCCTTAAGTCATTGCTATAGTTTTATAATTGATCTCTCTCTCTCTCTCTCTCTCTCTCTCTCTCTCTCACACACACACACACACACACACACACACACACACACTTGTGATACCGGCTTTATTGTATGTTCAGGATCCTGTTTCTACTTATAGGTCCTTCACTTTAAGAAGTGGCAGTATGTAGCATACACAGCAAAATTTAAAATTGTGAACTTTAAAGTGAGCCACAATTACTTTGCTTCCTTGACTCAATATTATCTATTATTTTTAATTAACGGGTAATGTGTGAATGATGAAAATGCAATGAATGTGATTCAGCCCAGCATGTAGTATAAATGAAAAAAACCCTTTTAATTACAGAATCTGTTATACCAAGTAGTGGCACTTTTCATGTAAAACTACCAAAGAAGCATAACGTAGAGCTTGGCATCACCATAAGCTGTAAGTAAAAGTAGACCTTTGTCATGTTTTTTTAAATATATGATCCTGATAATATATAATGTTTGGTAACAAAATTATTGCAGATGTATTTTGTACTTTATTTTGCTCTTTCAGAGCTTTTGACCACCCAGCAAATTAAAATTAGCCAAAAGTTCAAGCTAGACCCCATAACCAAATCACTTATTTAGTATAAATTGGATTCTCTGAAGCTTCAGTGATAATTATAGCTGAAAGAGGTTTTTAGATAGGAATGAAATTTGAAGGAAATTACAGGCTTATGTCTGTCAGGAGAAAGAGTTGTAGACACAGGATATTAATATAGATAAAAATACAGAACAATGGGAGAAAGAACAAGAAGATTCTTCTATTTGACTGCTATATACTTTTTTAAAAAAATGCTCATCTGTATGTTGTGGTTCGTGGGGAAAAAATCTTTATCTGAATTTGTGCTCATTTTGCCCAGCTGAGATGAGATTAGCTTTGCAAATAAAGGTTTCTATTTTAAATTCGCTATCTGTATTACTTCAGAGTCTTTATATCCCCCCCTTAAAATTCAGTATTAAATTAATTTCTTGCTTTCTGTTAAACTTTGAGAAGATTGGAAGATTGTTATTCCATCCTTACTTTGCTTTATTCTAGCATTTTTCTTGTTTAAAGTTTTAAAATCATACTGCTGAAATGTACTGGGTATGGGTTATAGAGATCCTGAAATTCTTCATTTGACACTTACTTTGTGAGCCAATGCGGTTTAGAGTAGGGTAGTTGTTAACTTACCCAATTCAGGCGGATAAGATGAGATGACTGATACTCTTCAGAATTTGCAGTCTGACAGATTCCATCATTATGGTTTAAGGGTTTCAAAACACAGATAAGTACCAATTATGAGGTGGTCTGAGGGTTGCCCCAGTTACATGAGGAGAGTAGCATGTTTTTTCTTGTGCAATTGCTCCTGGGCTCAATGGAGTACCATTATACTCCATCGTGTGGGAAGGAGTCCTTTTTGGAGGAGGTTGAAGTTTGAGCCATTGATCTACTATCAAGTAGACACTCAGTGCTTTTTTTCTAGAAAAATAGGTGCCAGTATTCACCATAAGCTTGTTACAGTAAGTGTAATTCGTTTTAACAACAACAAAAAAAAGAGGTGCCGTACTTTTGAGTGCCCCCTGAAAATTTGGCAACCAAAATGATCAAAGGCCTGGAAACGATGCCTTATGAGGAACGGCTAAGGGAGCTGGGCATGTTTAGCCTGGAGAAGAGGAGGTTAAGGGGTGATATGATAGCCATGTTCAAATATATAAAAGGATGTCACATAGAGGAGGGAGAAAGGTTGTTTTCTGCTGCTCCAGAGAAGCGGACATGGAGCAATGGATCCAAACTACAAGAAAGAAGATTCCACCTAAACATTAGGAAGAACTTCCTGACAGTAAGAGCTGTTCGACAGTGGAATTTGCTGCCAAGGAGTGTGGTGGAGTCTCCTTCTTTGGAGGTCTTTAAGCAGAGGCTTGACAACCATATGTCAGGAGTGCTCTGATGGTGTTTCCTGCTTGGCAGGGGGTTGGACTCGATGGCCCTTGTGGTCTCTTCCAACTCTATGATTCTATGATTCTATGATTCTATGATTCTATAAAAGCACTGTATACACTGAAATTAAAAACAATGTTACCATTTATAATTTCAGCAGAGTACAGAATAGTGATCTGTTTTGGATACAGGTTTCCATTAAACAATAAACAAACAAAAAAGCAACCCTGAAGTTATTTGTACTCAATATGATACAGAATATGCTATACATACTACCATTATATTTAAAACTGAGTTGTTTTTTAACAAAGAATACTTATGAAAACATCCTTTAAAAGGTATAAGGAATTCCAGTTAGGTTTAATTTGTTTGCCATCTCAATTGATTTTTAAACTGAGGAATGCAGTATAGATTTTTATGAGATCAATTTTTATAACGCGAACTACTTTATCATCGCAAATACTTTGAAAAAAGGGCATTGAAAAATGTCCAGAAAGATATATGAGCTGATGAAATATCAAAATAATAGTTTCCTACAAGTAGACATATACTGCCCTCTATATCTCATGGGAAAGGCGGCTCGTAGCTTCTGTTCTTCATATCAGCCACGAGGATGGACTCAAATGGGTCTTTGCAAGGGTGTAACATTTCTCATATCTGTATTTGCAAGATCATATTCATTACATGTAGGAGGAAGTTAATGTAGCTTAAGAGCCAGTGTGGTGTAGTTGTTAAGAGCGGTGGACTCGTAATCTGGTGAACCGGGTTCGCGTCTCCGCTCCTCCACATGCAGCTGCTGGGTGACCTTGAGCTAGTCACACTTCTCTGAAGTCTCTCAGCCTCACTCACCTCACAGAGTGTTTGTTGTGGGGGAGGAAGGGAAAAGAGAATGTTAGCCGCTTTGAGACTCCTTCGAGTATCAAATCCAAACTCTTCTTCTTCTTAAGATTCTGTTTAAAAGGGCATGATACTTTTATCACATCACAAGCATAAAGCCATCTTTCTGACAATATTAGGAAAGAAGTAAGTGTCTTTTAAAGTTCAGGTTCAGCCATGTTTACTCAGAAATAAGTTCCACTACATTTAGGCAACATTCGCACCATACATTTAAAACACTATTGTGCCACTTTAAGTAGTCGCACCTTGCCCTAAAGAATTCTGGGAGCTGTTTGTTAAAGATGCTGAGAGTTGCAAGAAGACCCCTATTGCCCTTAGGGTGTTAAAATTTCCAGAGTTCCCAATAATAAGGATTGATTGTTAAATCACACTAGTCATTGCAACTCTTAAGAGGAGAATATGGATCTCCAAAAACTCTCAGCACCCTTAACAAACTACAGCTCTGAATTTTTCTGTTGGGGGGAGGGGCAGAGAAAGCCAAGACTGTTTCAAGTGGTATTGTAGTACTTGAGGTATATGGTGTGAATGTGGCCAAAATGAACTTTACTCCCAGGTAAATGCGGCTGTAGCACTGCAGCTCTAGACCGCTGAACTGTTTTTGTCAAACATTGAAACCCTATGTGCTCTTACCAAATTCCATTGACGCAGTAAGACTTAACTTCGGAGTAAACCATTGGTTTATTGATCTATCCTGCATGCAAGAATGGGATAGAACAGGAAATGTTTTAAAATAGCAAGCTGGGTGTATGTTCTTTCAATAGGAGCAATGGGGCAGCAAGAATGTGAGGGATACCATTTCAAAGTTGACCCTTTTGCAGTATGAATTGTAGCACAATTGCAGCATAGGTCTATTTCAATGTGGGCACAGAGTACATCATTTGCATGCCCTCCCTACTGTGCTGTTGGCACAGCATGATGCCTGAATTTTTATTTTATTTTATTTGTTTATTTAAAATACTTTAGGTCGTGTTTTAGGGCAAAAGCCCTCTCAAGGTGGCTTATGCATAAAATATGACACAGCAAAGCATATTTAATAAATCAAACAAGTACTAAACAATACGAGAGCAATCAGCCCAAATATGTTAAAACCCAAAAACAAGATGAAACCAGCAATCCAACAAGCACCCTTCAAGGGAAGAGCAAGGAAAACAGATGCAACTTCAGAGCTTTCTGAAAGACCTATAATTACAGGGCCTGCTGAACCCCAGGTGGCAAGGAGACCCCAGAAATGTGGGTCTGTTGCAATATTCTCTTCTCTCACCCAGTAATATAATAAAATTAAATTCCAAGGTTCATCTGAATTATGAAGCTTTTATGGTAACCTCTGATATGATCAGTGAAGCAAATTGTATACATGTTTAAGAAATAGAGGGGTCTGAGTTCATAAAGATTGCTCAATATTCTGTTTTGAATGAAACTTCGTTTCTATGAGAGCTGTGCCACACCAATATTTATAAGGCACACCAGTTACCGTATTTTTTGCTCTATAAGACTCACTTTTTCCCTCCTAAAAAGTAAGGGGAAATGTGTGTGCATCTTATGGAGCAAATGTAGGCTGCACAGCTATCCCAGAGGCCAGAACAGAAAGAGGAATTGCTGCTTTCACTGCGCAGCGATCCCTATTGCTGTTCTGGCTTCTGAGATTCAGAATATTTTTTTTCTTGTTTTCCTCCTCTAAAAATGGGGTGTGTCTTGTGGTCTGGTGCGTCTTATAGAGTGAAAAATATGGTATATTTTAGGATGAAAGGCTTAACATATAACTGCACCCCACAAATGTTCATTACTAGGAATATTTGCTAGCATGGAAATACCCATGTATAATAAATATTGTACATAAAAGTATTAACATTAATTAGCATATGCTATATGGAGTTTTGAGAATTATTTTAAATTTAAATGCATGTATGTGTGTGTATTACATATTTCAGCTCCATCTAGTCGAAAACCAGGAGACCCTCTTGTTATTTCAGATATTAAGAAGGGAAGTGTTGCACACAGGTGAGTGATTTCAAGTCAGCAAAAAAAAAGTTATGTTGGTTACTCTCACACTCCCTAAGTATTTAAATGATCCATATTTCTAAATTAAGCAAATCCTTCCACTGGAGTAATGTTGTTTTTTAATCTCCACTGCTTTTTTAAAAAAATAAATCCATTTAAAAAATAGAATCATTTGCATGAATAGATGTCTAGAAAGCATGTGCAAGTCATCAGTTTTGTAATGTGTCCCATTTGTTAACAGAACTGGAACATTAGAACTAGGTGATAAATTGCTCGCCATAGATAATATTCGACTAGACAACTGTTCCATGGAAGATGCAGTTCAAATCCTGCAGCACTGCGAGGACCTTGTAAAGCTCAAGATTCGCAAAGATGAAGATAACTCTGGTATTCACAGTGAGCTGGCTTAAAAACCTATTTATGTACATTTATAATCACTTGTGTTAGATGCAATCTCTGTTGTATAATCAGTGGATGTTCTTTAATATTTTTAAATATACAGAGAAAAGGTGCTATCTATATCAATACAGATATTTTTGTATTCCATGACTTACTTCCAAGATTCATGCAACATTAGAATATTTGTCATTGGTCCATGATAGGACTATGGCACAGCCCCTCACCGCAGAGAGTCATGCATGCTTGTTTCAGTGCCACTTCTGTATTTAAAGTAGAAATGTCACCCCACCCACCCTCCAGAATTTCAGACAGGATTTTGGCCCAGCTGTTTTAGAGGAGTACACTCAGAGTAGCCTCTTTCTTTGGGATTCCTGGCAAAGCATGAAATCCTACCTCCCCATAACTCAATTAATACTCTAGTCTATACCCTCCTCCACAACAATATTAGACATGCTTAATCATCATACAAATGTACATTCGGAGCAAATTTTGTTCTCTTGTTTACTCACTCTAATATCACTTCTTTTTGGCAACATAAAAATCATTAGATTCTCAGTCACAAGAAGTGACAAGAGCATCTCTTTTGGCATTCTTAGCCTTAAGTTTTGTTGGGGAAACAGATGGTTCCCTTTCCACAATTACTCTTTACTGCTATCAGTATTTTCCTTCTGAGACCCCAATGTATAGGGCAGTATATAAATTCTAATAATAATAATAATAATAATAATAATAATAATAATAATAATAATAATAATAATTTAATAAATACTATTTAAGACGATCCTAGTGCTCCCAGGTAGCAGAGTCATAAGCAGAAAACAAGTGTAGCTATTTAACACTTGCCATATTATCATCAGGTTTTTCTATCTAAAAGGCAAATTCATCACCACCCAAAGTCAGCCTGAATTAAAGTCCATGTCACCTGATTCCCTGACCTTTAGTATCTGCTCATTTCCAGTCCGATAACTATTATGATCCATCCCAATCTATGCTTGCTCAGAAACGGCATACAGGGCCTTCTGCTGGTTACAAGGCCTGATATGTACATTTTAGTGGGAATTAAAGCAGTTAATAATTGCCAGCTTTTTCATTCCGCAGCTAAATTAATACTTTGCATAGATTAAAAACATTTATTTTATAATACAGGGCGAATTGTGTGTAACTACATGACTACCAATTAAGGTCTGCTAGATGCAATTCATCTATTATGTGTGCTTAGTAAATTATCCCATTTAAATCACGGTACAAAGACAGATTATAGTCGTCATAAAACTAATATTTCTGTACAGTTTGTGTTAAGAACAATACTTCATTAAGTTGCTAGTCCATAAACTGTTGTCATAAATTATTATTTTTAAGCTTTCACTTTTTTAAGCTGCTGCATGAAATCAAAAGAAACATAATGTAAGCAATTAGGGGCGTGTGGGTGATTATGCACCCACCCACCATTGCTGCTCCGCAGTGCCGTCTCCTAGGGTCTGGCATTTCAGCATCTGGAAACAAGCTGCATGCTCCTATGGAAAGGGATGTGAGGGTGCCAAGGCAAGAAGGCAGTCCTCCAGCCTAGAGGCACATGTTGGGGGAAGCAGGCTTAGTTTGGAAGACCCATATAATAACCAAGAGGGGAAAGAGAGACTGGAACCAGAAGTCTTGGCTTCTTGGGAAGTAGATGAGAGAGAAGGGTTTCCCCAGTAACAGTGATGTAACTGTGGGGCACACAATAGCCAGGCTGGAAATCTTGTGTAGAGAAAACAATAAATTCCTATTGTAGTCACATATTAGGTAAAGGGACCCCTGACCATTAGGTCCAGTCATGGCCGACTCTGGAGTTGCGGTGCTCATTTCGCTTTATTGGCCGAGGGAGCCGGTGTACAGCTTCCGGGTCATGTGGCCAGCATGACTAAGCCGCTTCTGGCGAACCAGAGCAGCGCACGGAAACGCCGTTGACCTTCCCACCGGAGCGGTACCTATTTATCTACTTGCACTTTGACGTGCTAGGTTGGCAGGAGCAGGGACCGAGCAACGGGAGCTCACCCCATCGCGGGGATTCGAACCACCGACTTTCTGATCAGCAAGTCCTAGGCTCTGTGGTTTAACCCACAGCGCCACCCATGTCCCTTAGTCACATATTACCTCTTTACTAATCAGCCTATCCACTTCGCTGAGTCCCCCTGAAGCCTTTGTGGCTTTTAGGTATTGGGAGTGACAAGAATAATCAGGGACCACAACAGTTTTTAAACACACATATATAAATGTCTACTAAAATGATAGAATCATTAGCTTTTAGTAAAGCGTTTTTACATGAAAATGTTACGGAAAAAGCAGCTGAGCCCACTCAGCTGGCACAAAGGAACAAACGAAACAGGAGATAAATGTGATCCCCCTATATGTACACAGTCTCTAACCTACACTAGGCTTCATTCATTCATAAGCTCCCTCCAGATCAGACCTGTGTGTCTGCCTTCTTGCTGTGAAAATGAAAAGTTGACCATATCCAGCAGCTTCTGCCCATGCACTCTCCAGTTCACAAGCTCCAGGAAGCGCAGGAAATTTTAATACCATGCTCTACCCACCAGATCACAGGCTTTAAGTGCTGACCTTCACATCCTCAATGATTTAGCCCTTCCCATTTGAGCCCCAGGGTAGGTCAGCTAGCAAATGTTAACCCCATAATCTCCAAACACATAGACAAGCAAAAGTTTACATTTTCAAGCAATACAAAACAGACTATCAAAGTGATGTCCACGCAGCAATCCAAATAAGCAATGTTCATTTCTTTTGCACATACAGATGGCTGCCCAGCAGCAATAAAAAAAAGTAGATAAGCAAAAATGCCCACTTTCAAGTGTTCAAGTGACTGTTACTATTTTCACACAGAAAAGTATTTGCCAGAGACTTGATTTCTCCCCTTGGTAACCAAAACCTGTTTTATGAACTTTGGGGGGGAGGGGAATAACCTGGAGGATAAATGGTACCATATTTTTTGCCTTGCGGTTGTCTCTGTTGTAGGGGAATGCATGAAGATAAAAGTTCACTTGGGTCTAGTGCCAGGTTTTAAATCCTGGTTTTGCTTCAGTGGATGGGAAGGAGATTTGATGATGTTGCCCATGAAGTCAAGTGTAGGCTTCAGAATTGAAGTGGCTAAGATATGTATTTGAGGCATGAAGCTTTTAGGATGCACACTGTGATTTCTGATCATTTGTCTGAATGTATTATTCTTTTCATTCCTTCTTTCATAAGAGACCAATTGCATCCTCTTGGCATGTATTGCAGATGAACAAGAGAGCTCAGGAGCAATTATTTATACTGTCGAGCTCAAGCGCTACGGAGGACCTCTTGGGATCACTATTTCTGGTACTGAAGAGCCCTTTGATCCTATTATCATTTCAAGTCTTACTAAAGGTGGACTAGCTGAAAGGTAAATTGAAATAAAGATATTCATAGTTCTGCTATTTACTGTGTTCATTCATGTGTGACAATTCATTCAGTCATATGCAATCATTCTTCCTTAGAAATCTGTCTGTTCTCCACAATTCATAGCAAATGAAATACTTAATGATGTTCAGTCTTTTTCTTGCTGGTGTTATGATATGAGGCTGTTGTTAAATCTAGAACATAGTTTTGCAATAGTTATTGTCACCATAAATCACCTAAAGAAAGCTTCAGGCATGCTTACCTTGTGATGATATTAATAACTTAAAGAAAAAAGGTGTTGCATTCTTCTTATAAGGTGGGTGTTTGTATATACATCGTTACATAGTTTTGCCTGTCTAGCTATATTTACCATATGTGACATATATACAATGTGCTAATTATTACATCTTCCTCATTCCCTCTTTATTTTCTTTTATAACCCCATGTACTAATAAGCATTGCTGTGCCAGGATAGGATCTTGAAATGTTCTTAGCAATTCATAAACCAAATATAGCACTTTTTCTGAAGGCAGTCATTGGGAGAAACATTCGTAACCCCATTTAATTTGAAGCCAGTAGAATTCTAAAGGTGAATAGCAATCTCTTGGATGTGGGTGCAGTTGTCAGAGACTGAAATGAGAAGGGGGAAGGATTTTGGAACCTGTGTTGAAACAAGGTGGTCAAAATGCAGAGCAATCTATTGGGCAGTTCTGGGGTGTGTGTGTGTGTGTGTGTGTGTAAAAGAGTGAGAAGGGTGGTCCTGCTTCCTGAAAGCATCTAGGCTTGCCCTATCAGAAAACTGTGGTGTCTAGATGCAGAGGATCAAAGACTGCATGTGTTACATGTCCTTGTTCTGCAGCTGCAAGAATCTCTGGTTAATTCCCTCCTGAAAATCATGTGCTTCCGCTGATTGATAAAATACCCCCCAATTCAGCCACCTGGCAATAGGACTGCAAAATGGTTTTGGAAGAGCCTTGGTAAAAATATGGGAGTTACAGGTAGCTTCAGTGGAGAACTCACCTGAAGGTGAATAACTAGTTTTTCAGGATCAGTTTCAGAGTGAACTGAGTTGTGTCATGATGATTGTCCAGGCATGGCAGCAGATAGGTTCTAGCTAAGTTGTCCATCCTAATATGCTCCCTAGCTATAGTTGTGGCCCATTTAATCCATCTATCAAGATATACCCCTTAATTTACTTCAGCTGATCATGTGAAAATATTGTGATGGTTTGTTCTATCATTGCCTTTTGCCTCTTGAATGGAAAACATCAATATTTGCAGGCACTAAGAAAGGAGTTTCAGTAAGCCTTCTGAATGTGCAGCTTTAATCCATGGCGTTGTCACGTTGAAGGGAATGATGGGTTGTTGTTGGTTTTCCTTGGATGTCAAGTGGTTCTCCTACCAGCTCTGAAAACAAACATGGCCTGGTGATCCAAATAGCCTTAGCAGCAAGAATGACTAAGTAGCTCCATTCATCTTACACACTTTAAATTAAATGTGAAACCCGAGGAAAAACCGCAGACACTTTTGCTTATCTCGTATATGTTAAATGTTTGGCTCAGTTTCCTTTTTACTGAACTTTTCATGTTTTATTTAACTCATGTTTCAGGACAGGTGCAATTCATATCGGAGACCGAATCTTAGCAATAAATAGCAGCAGCCTGAAAGGAAAACCTTTGAGCGAAGCCATACATTTGTTACAAATGGCAGGAGAGACAGTCACCTTGAAAATCAAAAAGCAGACAGATGGTGAGTGTTGTCTCAGGTATTTCACAGGGGCCCTTTCTACAACCATCAACAATGCATAAGTTCACGAAAATGGTATTTGGGTCATTGGAACGCAGAAACAAATGCACAGGTACAAGAATGGTTGAACAGAAGCACTTCAAGGCCTACAAGATATTTGCAGTCACCAGTGCAGTAATGGAGTCCAACAAAAAGAGAGTCAATTAGCTCCTTACAACAGTAGTGTTACAGTCATAATTTGGGAAGTAATAAACTACTCATTTAGACTCCTGTGGGTCATTCAAAGAAAAAAAAGAAAAGTATTAAGTAACAAACCCTACACATAAATGAACATTGAACAAAAAGCAGAGGTACAGATCAGAGCCAAGCCCAAGTTTGTGAAGGATGTAGACAAACTGGAAATCATGAAATTACAACAAAAGGTTTTTAAAGCCATTATGCGGGGGGACCCAAAAAACCCACCCCCAGCTCATGCAGTTTGTCTGTCTTAGTTTTCTTGCTTGCAGAACGTCCCTCCATGCAAATGAAGCTGCATATCTATCTGATTTTCCAACCAAGTTTTAATCTTTTTTCCTACCATTTAATTCCTACCAGCATCAAGTCCCAAGAAGTTTCCGGCCTCTGGTCACCTAAATGAATTGAGTGACGCGGAAGATGACACAGCCACCACACAGAAACCAGGCAAACTGTCAGAAATATACTCCACTACCGTCCCAAGCGTAGATAGTGCTGTGGAATCATGGGATGGCTCTGGAATGGATAACAGCTATGGAAGTCAAGGTGGGTTTGTGCATACCAACCAGCACACGTAACATGGGAAACCACTCCATGGGAAAACCTTCTAAGCCAACTTTGCTGTGTCTCAACTGTGCCGCCTCTGTCTCATTAAGACAGCGCCCTTTAGTACACTCTGCTGCCTCTTGCATTCAGCTAACCTTGGTCTCACTCTTTCACGACACTGTGACAGGTTATAAAGCATATATCAATATACTAACAGCCTTCTGCTAGTTTTACTGATGTGTGAATAGCCAGTCCATAGCTCATCCACAGCTAAATGGGTTTATCCTTCAAGCTTAGATTAATAAAAGATGCAGAACACATTGAAGGTGTTCATTAATTTGAACATCTGAGGTGCATTCATTGTGATTTTTAAGCTGGCTATGGTAAAGATTTATTGTAAACTGCCAAAGGGGGAGCATAAAGAGATTATTCAGTGATTTGTTACCCTTTTGTTTTTCCTTCATCCCTTGACATTAAGATGTCAGAGGGCTTTCAGAATAATAACTGGTTTTAGGAAAGGTTTTGAAGGGAGGGGAGGAAGAACCAGAATGGATTTTCTTTTACCTCTTCAAAGATCCGTGCTTGTTTTTTAGTATTTCACCTTTATTTTAAGCACTGTCATTTAAATCTCAGGATAAAACTTTCAGCCCTGGAAGTGCAGGTTTTTATAAACATCCTGGGTTGGAATGAGGACTTCTAAAAAATCATATTTTACATTGGAATATCAAACAGAGCAGGGGCATGGGTCGGCAGTTCAAATCCCCATGACGGGGTGAGTTCCCGTTGCTCGGTCCCTGCTCCTGCCAACCTAGCAGTTCGAAAGCACGTCAAAGTGCAAGTAGATAAATAGGTACCGCTCCGGCGGGAAGGTAAACGGCGTTTCCGTGCGCTGCTCTGGTTCGCCAGAAGCGGCTTAGTCATGCTGGCCACATGACCCGGAAGCTGTACGCCGGCTCACTCAGCAATAAAGCGAGATGAGCGCCGCAACCCCAGAGTTGGCCACGACTGGACCTAATGGTCAGGGGTCCCTTTTTCCCTTTATCAAACAGAGCACAGTGACATTCAAATGCCAACTAGAGAAGTCATTGTTTCAAAGATAAATATTCTCCTTCCCTTACACATTTTGCACATTCCTTCAGAAGTATTTTTGGACCCACTCACCCAGTAACTGTGTGCTGCACAAGAAGATGCAACCTGTTCTTGGCCACATGATCATATGAAGATGATCATATGAAGTTCATAGAAACATACCTGCGCACAGAGACATCTGAGCCACCAAGCTCATGAGAATTGCTGCTGCTGTGCCTGCATTAAGCCCCCTTCTGCTTCTCCATGTGTTTTGAGATACATGCATGGCAGGCTGTGAAGAGTTCCGAACAGATCTCTCCAACACAGCAGTAAATAAGTTTCAATATAAGTAAGCGCAGAATGATGCACATCAGGGCAAAAGGACACACACTCCTAACTTCACATTCATGCTCAACTACTTGAGACCATCTAGGAAAAGGATACTGAGGTTATGGTGGATTACTCAGTGAGAAGGTCAACTAGCAGTAGTAAAAGTGACAGATTCCATATTAAATAGTTTACAGAATGTATTGCCACAAGATGTTGCATTGGCCGTTACCTAACATGGCTTTAAAGGGGTATTTGTGGAAGATAGGTCTGTCTGTGGCCATTGGCCACAATAGCTCAGTGGAGTCATTGTAGCTCTCCAGATGGAGAAATTGCTGGGTTAGCCTATATAGACTTCTAGTTGAGTGGATGACCAAATCAGCTGCTGTGCAATGTTTCTCTTCTATGTAAGAAATGTAATTCTTTCTTCATTGTTGACATATGGGTGAACTAGTGTTGGGCACTTTCAGTAATGATCTTTAATTTATTGCATAGCTTGGCACTGGAAGCAACTGTCATTTTCTCTTTTGCAAAGTTCCTTTGGAATCCATTTTATCCCAGCAAGAAAGAAAAATGCTCAAGTTTCCTCCTTATACATTGTTAAAACAGGGCAGGGGCAAAAGAGCTTGAAAGTCAAATACTAATACTTTGAAGCTCAGAACAAGCAATTAAAGCTATTCTTTAACAGCAGTAGTAGAACGAAACATGATATGTAATGTTGGATGTCTGATTTCATGTCAGGACAAATTCCCAGTTGTAAAAAAATATATTTAGCAATTTCATTTTTGCTAGACATTGTGTATTTAGTCTTTCCTTTGAATTCTACAAATATAAAATGTTGCTATATTTTTAATTTTAAGAACAACAATTTGATTTATTTTTATTTGTGTGCCAGAACTCACTGTTCTGCTGTCATTCCACATCCCTTCTGAGGAAGGCAAGTCTCAGCATGCAGCCATCATTTAGTTTGCGCGACAGTAAACAGCACATGAATCACACACAATCCCTGCAGACCCATTTGTTCATCTGTCTGAAAAACTAATGAAATATTGAGCTGTGAATATTTTATTAAATGAAAATAGTTCTGTAAAATCTCCAGGAATGGTCAGCAACCCATCATGGGCGGCAGTAGACATTTTGGTTCAGGTCAGGGGAGGGGAGTGTACAAGCCTGGATAATAGAAATTCAACTCAATTCAGTAGTTCAAGTATAAGGTTGTGCATGGGCGAGGGGGCAACTATTAAGTATTTTTATATCACCTGCCCTGATGAATCATTAGATAAAAAAAGATTGAGGGTTGAGTTTTTGTTTATTTCAAAATGACTACCCAAGAGCTAATTTCAAAGAACCCATGCCATGTCATAAGGTACAAAATGTGTTGATAGCTACACATCTTAGAAAAGTGTGGCATTTCCAAAACTCTCAATCTTTTGGGCAACTGCTGGGGCCTTTAAGCAAGTGCTATTCCATCGCCCCAACTCTTTTCTGTCACCATAAATAACATCATACTATATATTGGTGAAACTAGCTGCATCTGTTGGGAAATTATGTACATAATTTCAGCCTATGTAGTCTGATTGACTTTGTTAGTGTTGGCCTTCTTTTTTACCCCTCCCAAAAGGAGTAAGTGAACTATTAACGATGTCATAAGCTACGTGACTGAAGCCGGTACCACTTGGAAGAAACTACCTTCATGCATTGTGAAATGGTCTGATTTGGAGTGGCCCCCTATGAAACAATAGGATTGTTTCACAGAGGGCCACTCCAAATCAGACCATTTAATGTGGTCCAATTTCCATTGTGGTGACAATTTCCATTGCACTGAACTGGAGCTATGCATCTTGGATCTTGCATCTGAAATTATCAACTACCTTAGCAATAAAGTCAAAGTAAAGAGATTTTGTGAGAACCCCATTTTGGTTTGTGCAGATCCATGAATTTCTGCAGCCTTCCTTTATTGAGATACTATTGGTATATATAGCAGGCTTCCTCAACCTCAGCCCTCCAAATGTTTTGGGACTACAATTCCCATCATCCCTGACCACTGGTCCTGCTAGCTAGGGATCATGGGAGTTGTAGGCCAAAAACATCTGGAGGGCCGAGGTTGAGGAAGCCTGGTATATAGCCATTTTCATATATTTAGACAGGTGGAAACTTATTTATTTGTCCAGTCCTTTGGAACCTAATGGTGTTGATACAGGTCAGAATTTAGTGCTGTTTTTTATAATGGATGTATGATTGTATTCTGCTTTGTATTATATTTTATATAGCTGCTTATATTGTATGCTGTGTTGCAAGCCACTTTGTGCACCAGTTTTGGGGAAAGGGTGAGGTATCATTGGCTCCACATATCACTACCTTACAGACTCACCTAATAATTGGGAAATGTGTAGTTTGAAGTTGAAGTATGAGTGGGGAATAGTCAAATCCGCGAGCAGCCGAGTTGATGGATAGTTCCTGCCTTGTGCTGCACTAGATGGCTTTACAACCCTTTCTATACTGATCTTCTATTTTTCTCATTAAGTATTTAACATTGCATCAAGCCGACAGCTTGAATGAGTTACTTTAGTACAGCAGTTCCCCTCCACCACATACAAATGGGAATCCTCTGTTCTGCAGTCTTTGCTTTTAGTTAAACTGCCCTGAGAATATAATGTGCTACAGCCTGCACAGATCCTCTCAGGTATTTTGTCTATGGCCAAAGTTGTGTAAAGATGGAAGTGCTTACACTGGCAAGTCATTAGCATAGGAAGATGATAGTTTTCAAGACAGCTCATTATTTTATCTCACAGCTTATAAGAGCCATTATAAAAAGATGCCCTTGGTTTTTCACCTTGCTGTTTCCATTTCAGTTTTTGAAGTATTGGCTGGTTTCTGTCCAACTTTTCCAGTTCAGATTCAGTCCATGTCTTTTCCTAATGGAGATAAATTTAATACTTGCTAAACAGGATAACCTGATAACCATGTTCCCAGTACAGTGGTACCTCTGGTTAAGAACTTAATTCGTTCCAGAGGTCCGTTCTAAACCTGAAACTGTTCTTAACCTGAGTTAAGCTAATGGGGCCTCCTGCTACCACTTTAGTTAATGGGGCCTCCTGCTGCTGCCATGCCGCCGGAGCACAATTTCTGTTCTCACCCTGAAGCAAAGTTCTTAACCCAAGGTACTATTTCTGGGTTAGTGGAGTCTATAACCTGAAGTGTCTGCAACCTGAAGCATCTGCAACCCGAGGTACCACTGTAATCTGTAGTGCAAGTACAGTTTAGGTGACCTTTGTTTTGGTTGCCTTACTTAACATGATAGTGATATGGCCTATATAATTTTTTTCCGTATTATCTATGGTTTTTAACCTACTCCCAATTCTGCAGTATTCTCTGCTTTTCAGGATCCCCATCCTACCAACCCCTCATTCCATAGCTGGGTGTAGAAGCTTGCACACCACAGCATGTTTTTACTTTGTGTGAGAACCTGCGATGGTAGTGCAAGGCTACTTTAGCAGAGATGCTGCCCTCTTATCTGTTCCCTAGCCCAGCAGAATGGGATGCTACTATTGAGCCAGAACACTGCAAGCAGCAGCTAGAGAGAAGGGGCTGCTCCTTATCTGCCCTTCACATGAATGCCTAGAGAAATATTACCTATTCTGTGTCCACAAGACTGCTAATGGATCAAATGGAAGTCTGCACCCTGTTATCAATTTCATTTCATTTATAATGGAGTGCCAAAATATCAGTATTTTAGGACATCCCCCAAAAATGTAATATGTCAGCATTGGTTGCTTTACATCTCCAACGAAGAATAATATGTGCAAATAAGGGGCTTTGGTGTTTGGTACCACCAACATATATTTATAGAAACTTTCTTTTAAGCTTGTACAGAGTTTGTTGTGTGACATGCTGCATTCCCAGACTCTGACTGGAATATATTGCCTTGTTTCTTTGTTATAATTGCTCTGCTACAAGTTCTTTGATATCATGTATGTCAGGTCATTTCTTTATCACAGATTGAGAAGGCCCGGTGAGCTACACTTTTGAGAATGAGTGAAGAATTGGATGTTGGTTCAAATCAGTCTGTTTCCTAGATAATTCTGAGCAACTCTCATGGCCTCAGTTCCACATGCATGAAATGGGAACAAGGATGGCTTTAGCTCACATAATTGCTGGCAGAACAATGAAATAGGTTAAAACACATTGTGTTATTAGGGGTGCAATGTAGTGTTATAAAATATTTTCTTTGTTTAAAGCATCGTGGCTTTACAAATATGGTTCATATTTTAGGTCCCAATTATCAGGCTTCAGGATACAACTTCAGCACATTTGAATGGAGGAGTCCAAAACAAAGGAGCAGTTTATCCCCTCCCAACAGGCCCCGAACCAACCCCTTCCACAACACAGGGCTAAGTGATGATGAATGGGATAAACCCGTCACAAGCAGGTATGTTTTGCACCAGTTGCTCAATTTATCTTTGCAGCAGCAGCAGCAGCGTTCTTTGTGAGTACATACACCACTTGCCTGGGCTCAAAACACCAGTTGCCAGTTTATCCTCCACTACTGAGATATTTACAGTTCATGCTGCATGAGATTTATTAGGTTAGGTTAGTGACATTCATGAAAGGTTATGATGCTGAAAGCAATACTTGTGCACTCGGTGAAATTCTGTGCATAAAAGGATAGATCATTGGTTCTTGTTAATGCAACAATTAAACTGAAAAAAGGTCCTTCCCCACCCCCCTCCTTTGAATGTTGTAAGAGTCTTTCGTTTCCCTAATCTTGTTCCACGAACATCAACATTTGACACAAATGTAGTTTCGTGCACACGCATCTTTGTAAGGACTGGTTCTTCATTATCTATGTGTAGTGCGGTTGCAATTTCCACATGGTCAGTAGCCATGGTGCCCCTTTAAGAAAGAGGAGCCATGTGGGACAAGGCGATGATGCAGCCTCTTAGAGCCCAACCATCTGGTGTTACCAATGACAATGCAATTCTTGTCAATGCAATTCTTGTCAAGCTTGGAGAGGCTCTGGCCAGGAAATGTCAGACAGAATAAGTCAATGGCTTGACCCCTTATTTTGCAGAGTAAGCGAAAAGCATGGAAAAGAATTTGCCCAAAGCACAGGTGATGGCAACAGATCCATGTTTTTATAGATGAATGGGGCAACAGACCCACTTTTCAAGTGGGTTGGGTGCAGCTTAAAGGGCTAAGGGGACACATGAGTGTGAGTGCTGAACCCCAAACCATTCCTCACCCATTCACTCCACTGGCTCTTTAAATTGCACCCTATCCTCTGTGCAGACCCACTTTGAAGAACATGGGGTTTGCCACTGTCACACATAGTTTGTGTTAAAAAAATCAATAGAACTTCTGTGCTCTGGTTCCCAGTTTACTTGCCGTACTTCAGAGAATTGCCTGACGCTGTTGGCCTTAGAAGAGTTTTGCTGTAACCCTCAGACAGGCAGCATTACTGCTAGTTTCTCCAGCTGACCCACAGTCTAATCAATAGTCTCAGAGAACACATGGAAAGTGTGATTAAAGTGTGACTTGAATAATTCCTCTGCCCTCCCCGCCAAAAAACACACACACTGTCCCAAACCATTATCTCCAGTGTCCTCATGGGAAACGACTTGCTGCACTGTTTTTTTATCACTTTGGACTCATGAATCCATGATAAACCTAAAGGAAGGTGCCCTAGTTTGTCTCTGCTGATAATGAAGATGCTCAGTTGCAACTGAACCTGATCCAAAACCTGGGGTAAATAGCACTAAAACCCACACATCTGTTCCTCCGGCTGATGCCAAGTCAATCAGAAGCTTATTTTCTAAGTTAATGATTCCCACACATGCATCCAGAAATGGATACTAATTCCCCCCCCCCCACACGCAGCCAGTCTCTCTGCATGGCCTGAGATTTCTAAGCATTCATCTAGTTTCTGCTTGGTTTGGGGAACCGTAGGATGCCGCCATTTTGTTAGGCTGACAGCAACTTTGGCGAGTGGTAGGTTGGATGCAAAGCAGATGCATACTTACCCCAGCAGCCACATGCCAAGAAAAGTCCATGTGCTAATCTAGTGGTTGGCTAATGCAGTGTTTCCCAACCGGTGTTCCGCGGCACACTAGTGTGCCGCGAGACGTTGCCTGGTGTGCCGCGGGAAAAATTAAAAAATTCGAAAGATATCCGGAGAGGCGGCCTTCAGGCGAGTTTTAATTTTAATTTTCCTTCTCCCACTTAATGCCCCACGCTCGCCCGAGCAGCTTGCAGTCCTTGGTAACCACGGCGACCCGAGGGAGGGGAGGGAACAGGGAAGTCGAGGGCGGCGGCGAGCCGCGATGACGTCAGTGGGCCGCGCCGCCTCGCCCTGGCACGGTGTGAGAGCCCCGGCTAGTGGCGCGAGCTTCGGAATAAGTGGGATCCGCGTGCGCGAGACCGAGATCGCGGGTAAGGAGCTCAGCCCTGGGCAGGAGGAAGCGGGGCCGCGCGTGCGGGCCACATCCCCACAGAGAGCGAGCCTCCCCCGGCCCACCACTCCGGGCAGGTCCACTCGCATGAGGGGGCGGCGATGGCGACGGCCAGCAGCTTGCCTGCAATGCCATCCCTCGAGCAGGCGAGGAGCCCGGAGGCTACCAGATGCGAGTCCTCTTTCCCACCCTGCTCGGGAGTCCAGAGCACTTGGTCGCATTCAGGATCTAGAGTGGGGAAGCGGGGCTTGTGTCTGGGCTGGACACATTGGGCTGCCTGTGCCGCTCGACCTGCGGGGAGAAATCAGGGTGGGAGTCACGACCGTGAGGCAGGGCTGCCAAGTGTGGCAGAAGAGGACACGGCCGTCGCACCTGTCCTTAGGTAGGAGCTTCTTCCGTGTCGACCTGCTGCCCTAAAGTCTTGGCTTTTTTCTTGGCTTTTTGGCAGTTGGCACAGAAGGAAGGCAAGGGGGAGGGGGGAAAATTGAAACTTACACTTTCGTGCGTCCCTCCCGGCGTGACGCTGCGCGCTGACGTCACGGGGCTGTAATGGTGGTGTGCCTCGAGATTTTTTTCATGAAACAAGTGTGACTTTGCCCAAAAAAGGTTGGGAAACACTGGGCTAATGCACGTCTTGGGCAAATCTGGGCCTAGGTTCTAGCTAGCACATCTTAAAATGTGGATTGAAGGAATGGTGATCAAATATGGATTGATCCCCAATGGTGATGGGTGGGGAGACTGCACGTTTCTAATGTAAATACTTCACAGATATTGGGGGGACTGAACAATCCTGTGGTTGGGAATCTGCAGGCCCTAAGCTCTGTCCCCGATTTGCCAGCAGTTGTTCCAAATCACCCAAACCTTTCCCAGTTCTGGGAAGGCAAGGAGAAAATAAAAAAGAGAGCAATCTCTTTCCTACCTTTTCCCTTCTCCCATTTGTCAGTCGGAGGGAAATTGCTTGTGCCAGATCCTGTCCTTGGATAGATTTCCCGAATGTTTGTAGCTGGTGCTACAGAATTGAGGGGTCCCCCTCCTCCATTGCACCTACACACCAACACGACTCCATTCTATTTATGGAGATGCATAGACTCTACTTCTGCAGCAGAGCATAGGAGCCTTTGCGCACAAAGGCATTTTTTTCAGCTAAGGCAGTGGATCTGGACTGCAGAAGAACCCCCCCCCACCTTATCCTAATACCCCTCAGCCACTGAACCAGTGAGTGTGGGATTGTACACTAAACCTGCATTAGGTGAATTTGGGAATCTATCTTAAGTGTGGGAGAGGCAATTCCAGTCGTCACTGATAATTGTAAGGAGCGAGAGGCTGTGCTGTTTCTTCCAGTTTTAGTTTACGCGAACCATTAATCTTGCATCTTCCTTTCCCTCACAAATGTGCCTGCATGTGCAACCTCACCATTCATAGCAGCTCCTAAGCATGAATTAGCCATGAAGATTGCTGCAATAAACGTAGGCCGGGGTTTGTGCGAAGTTTTATTTACAGACCACTTGTAAATTCTTGGGTTAATGAAGCCCCCGTGTTGTGTGTCAGTAATCGCGCTCCTTCTCCACAGCCCTGTCTGAGCTTGCTTGCTTCCTGCCCACGCTCACCCTTAAGTCTGGTTTTGTTGCTGTAAAGCATTCCTATGAAGTACACTGCCGTGTTGCCTTTGCCACTTAAGCAAACCTTTCTCTATGAATCCAGCTTTGCAGGTGCCCCCGAGACTGACCAGGAGGAAAATTTCTGGTCTCAAGCACTGGAGGACTTGGAGACTTGTGGACAGTCAGGAATTCTGAGGGAATTAGAGGTAGAAAAATAAATAAATCTTAATCCCGTCACAATATACCAATTTCTTTTTCAATTAACACTCATATTTTTTTTTGTTTTCCCCCCTCTATATTTTTTTCTAAGTTTGCATTAATCTCACAAATTCATTTTAAAGCTTTAACCCCCCCCTTTCCACAGGACAAGGCTGACAGGCGTCTGTGTTTGAGAAACATGACTCTCTTGGTACCTACCCTTTATGTTTATATTTTGCTTGTGCAGCTGCCTCCCCTGATTTCCCCCTAATCAAGCTGTTTTCTTTCATGGAACTGCTGCTGAAATGATACAAGCGTGTTATGTCTTCAAAAGCTTCTCCTGTGCTACTGTGGGCTGCACCTGTTTGCAGGCTGATTTTTCCTAGGCAGCAGCGCATCCCATTCTCTTCCAGCTGCTTTTTACACAAGGTTTCCTTGGCATGTATCTCTTGCAACAAAACTGATTCTGAATTAAGGGGAACATAAACGAAAAGCAACTTTGCAAGTTTTAAAATCGGGAGTCACCTGATGAGCCAAGACAACTGCAATGAATTCCACATTAACTTCCCACCTAGAGATTTACTTTTTTTTAAAAAAAAGACAACTCTTTGTTTAAAGTTGCCTGCATGTTCCTTAATTACCGGTACACCAAAAATGAATATAACTTAAAACAGCTTTAACGTTTCAAAAGGGCAAGTCCTCAAAAATTTTCTTTTATGTTCTTTTAAATTCCTTGCGTTGCAAAAACCGGCTCATTTTCATTTTTATGTCATACTGAAGTCCCTGAGCAACCACAAGGAATGTGAATGGCATAGCTGGGTAAAACTCATGGAGCTCGAGTGGATTGCGCAGCCTCAGAATTATGGCTTCCGTATTGCACGTCTGTTTACTTTCATGTGGACCTGATCTGAGTTTAATTGCCATTCGGAGGAATGTAAGGGAAAGCTCTGTCTAAAGGCATGGTACCTCAAGGCTTCTCTTGCCAAATTCCTTCCTGTCAGCACAGCAAACGGATATGGAAATAGATAAGGGGAACAAATGTTTCAGTAGGTTGATAATTCCCCATTTTAAAGATGACATGGTGGGTTGTTTTTGTTGCTTTTTTTTTTAAAAAAAGGTGAAAAATGAATTGGGCATTTGCTCACCCTAATTGTGCTCAGCTGCTTTGTTGGCATCTGTGTGAGCAGGAAGCAGCTGTGCAAAATTATATTGCAGAAACAAGACCCTTGTTTCCCATCAATCCAACCTTGTTTGGACCCCTCTCAAAGCAGTTCACTTTTCAGTATTGATCAGCTGACTGGCACTGTCAGTGAGCCCCACTTGCTCATGAACAATTGGGAGCTTGCTTTGAGCTCCTGTTTGCTCCTTTAGAGCCATGTCTTGACATCACGTAAGACATCAGTAAATGGGAGAAAGCCTCGCAGGCCAAATTGGGTCCAGTGCCAGATCTAAGTAGGCCTGCCAGTCAGTTTCCCAAACCTGTGCTTAAGTAGCCTTCCCATGAGTTCTCATCAAAGATATTGCTGCTTCTTTTGTTGACTTGCTTTGTTTTAATACCTCAGATCTGCCAAAATGCTACCTATTGTAGCATTCATTATATTTAGGATAAACTAATTATGCATGTGCCAGGATTAATTTAAATAACAAAATAGTTTTTAGGGTAAAGAACTTTTGCCAGCAAAGATTTTTGTAGTCCACTTTCGTTCCTCTGGTGGCCAAGCATGACTACGGCCGGCCATTGTAACTCACCAATTATAGAAGCTGTCACTCCTCCCATCCTCCGCAGATTGGATAAAAATGTCATCCAAGAACCTTTTTCGTCAAGTACATTTTTCAGAGGACTCCCACTCAAATTGTCCATCTATCCTCCAGCCATTTGCTGTGCTCTGAAGTGACTGTGTTCTGGCCAAGACAACAGAATAGATGCTGCTGCCTTTAGTTACAGCCTAATCTTCTGGGTGTTTTTTTACTATGTCATGTATGATAAAACCTTTTTGTTAACGCTACAGGCAACCATTATGTCAGGTAGCACCATGAGTCTGAACCATGACAACCCGCAGCATCGCAGCCACCTGGGGAGACAAGCCAGCTTCCAGGAACGAAGCACTTCGAGGCCTCATTACAGCCAGACGACCCGTAGCAACACGTTGCCTTCAGATGTGGGAAGAAAGTCTGTAGCTTTGCGGAAGATGAAGCAAGAGATGAAAGAAATTATGTCACCAACTCCTGTGGAGTTACACAAGGTGAGTTGGTGCACCGTCCGATTTCTCCCCTTCTGACAGTAATCTTGCACTGAATGCAGTACAGAGCAGATGACCGTCTTCACTCATGGCCGAGTAAGACTGTCTTCTATGAACACAGTTTTAACAGTGAGTCCGTAAGTGACTATGGCGGCCATTTTTTGATCCACACATCCTTCCACAGTGGTGACATGGGTTTCCGGGCAGGAGTTTATCACGGTGAGGGTTTGCCAAAACAAGCCTTCCTCTTAGCACATTTCTCCATTTCGTCCTGAGTTCGAGCATCCCAACTGCATGACAGTACTCCCTCTAATGCAGAGCTTTCCAAACCTTTCATGTTGGTGATACTCTTTTTAGACATGCATCATTTAACAACACAGTAATTCAGTTTTATTAGCACACCAGAGGTTAAACTAACCCCAGGAGAACACAGGGAGCCGACACACTAACATGTCGCCACACACAGTTTGGAAAGCTCTGCTCTAATGGGTTATAAAAATAAAATATTTGGACTTGTATGCAAGCCCACTAAATCTGTTCATATAACGGATGTTTATATATTACAATTTTTGAACAAGCAGAGGGAAATAGCAGTTACTATAAACTATTTGACTTCTCTCTTTATTATTTCCTTGTGATTCTATAACAACACATTCATTCTGAGTTATCCAAACTGTTAATAACAGCAAAGAACTCAGGTGCCTTTTAAAAGCTACCTTTCTTTGAGATACAGTCATACCTCGGGTTGAAGTTGCTTCAGGTTGAACGCTTTTGGGTTGCGCTCCGCGGCGACCCGGAAGTAACAGAATGCGGTAGTGTTGAATGGTCACTGTAAAATGTGAAGGTTCATTATTGTTTCACAAGTTGTGTATGTCTTTAAGGGCCAGGGCTAATAACGAGACCCAGTCTTACAGCTGTGAAACATAGCAGGTGCTGCTAGGTTGTGTTAATTAAGCTGTGTCAGCATTTGGGCATAGTATATAAGGAGCAGCACCTAGCTCTCCCATTTCCCTGGGGGGGGTGTTGGTGGTTGGGTCATGTTTCTTGTTGTTATCTTTAGTGTAAAAGGAGTTTTTGTTTTGTTATTAAAACCTTGTTAAAGTTATTTTTGAGTTCCTTGTTATGCATGGTCTCCCCAGCAAGCTCTCTGCAGCGCTACTAAACTGCAAATAGCCAACAGTTACTTCCTGGTTTCGCAGCTTGCACATGTGCAGACGGTCAAAATGATGTCATGTACATGTGCGGAAGTGGCGAATTGCGACCCACGCAGACATGGGTTGCGCTCGCTTCAGGATGCGAACAGGGCCCAGAACGGATCCAGTTCGTATCCAGAGGTACCACTGTACAGGTAATAAACTAGCACAGAAAGATGCTATATTTGGACTTTGGTCTCTCAGCTGAGACTTGCGCTCACATCCACACGCTCCTCACTTCTCAACATACTGAGATAAGCCAGAAGAATCTTCAGTTAATCATAGTTTCCTGTTACACCTGAACTCTCGTTACTGAGTTCGGAACAAGCCAGGATCTTAAACCACAGCTTAAGATCTTGATTTGTACCCAGCCTGGTAACTAATAGCTTCCAATTTCAGATGCAATAGGAAACTATGGTTAACTGAGAATTATTCCCTAATGCAGCGCACCGAGGGGAAAGGTTCACTTAGCTTATTAAGTTGAAGGACAAGCGTCCAAACTGGACCGTAATACAGAATTTAGACAACAAAGCAAGACAATATAATGAGCTACTAATTTCTTTGAGAGATGAAGAAAAGCATGTTTGTTAATAGAGGACAATAGCAACATGGGACTATAAAATGGCGGGGATGGGGGCCTGTGGCTCTCTAGATCTAACTGGACTGCAACAACCATCATCGCGAAGCATTAGACATGTTGGCTAGAGCTGGTGAGAACTGGCATCCAACAACATTGGGGGGGGGGGGGAGCACAGTTTCCCCACTCTTGCATTAAAAGATATGATCAGGGTAAGGAAAAAAAACTCCTGAGTGATGATAATCCCAAAACTGAGATTGTTTCAGGATACTTAATCGAGATTTTTAAAGTCAAATTTAAAGCTTCTTAATGTTACTTAATGGTGGCTACTGAGTCATTTATATGTTTTATGTGTCCAATATGTCTGGACTACAATGGTACCTTGGTTCTCAAACATCTTAGCTGACGAACGTTTCGGAACCCGAACGCCGAAAACCCCAAAGTAAATGCTTCTGTTTTTGAACATGCCTCGGAAGTTGAATGGCTTCCGCTGCATTTTTCCATTTTCTCAACTGAACTTGCAGACAGCCCTTTGTGCCTTGGTTTTTGAATGTTTTGGAACTCGAACAGCCTTCCAGAACAGATTACGTTCAAGAACCGAAGTACCACTGTATTAATGTTTTATGGATATGTAACCACACACACTAAGGGATGCGGGTGGCGCTGTGGGTTACACCACAGAGCCTAGGGCTTGCCGATCAGAAGGTCGGCGGTTCGAATCCCCGCGACAGGGTAAGCTCTCGTTGCTCGGTCCTTGCTCCTGCCCACCTAGCAGTCTGAAAGCATGTCAAAGTGCAAATAGATAGATACGTACCGCTTCGGCAGGAAGGTAAACGGCGTTTTCGTGCTCTGTTCTGGTTTGCCAGAAGCAGCTTAGTCATGCTGGCCACATGACCCGGAAGCTGTACGCCAGCTCCCTTGGCCAATAAAGCGAGATGAGTGCCACAACCCCAGAGTCATCTGCAACTGGACCTAACAGTCAGGTGTCCCTTTACCTTTACCCACACACTACAGCTAACTATTTGGGAGGAGGGGACATGGAAAGATGGAGCAGAACGGAGCTTCCATAATCTTTATAATGCAGACCTCAGATTATCTTTCCTTCCCCCTTCCCTACAGGTAACTTTGTACAAGGATTCGGATATGGAGGACTTTGGGTTCAGCGTCTCCGATGCCTTATTGGAAAAAGGAGTGTATGTTAAAAATATTCGGCCAGCTGGACCTGGAGATGTGGGAGGGTTGAAGCCATATGACAGACTGCTCCAGGTAAGAGTGAACCATACTAACATAGAAAAGCCATATCAAGGGCATGGGGTTTTTTTCTGTAGAACAGAAAGCATTCTGCGGTCAAGTTCAGCATTCACAATAGTGGAAACTGTATTTGAAATTCAGTTGCACAGCTACGTTCAGCTCCCTCATTCATCGTGTACTGTGAACTGAATGATAGGAAAGACACACACACCCGGTCTATGAATTAAGGATAACGTAACATAAAGACAATAATCATCAAATGCTGAAAAGCTGCAAGCCTAGGTTCACTCACTTGACACAAAGTCCTGTCGAACACAGTGGAACTTACTTCTCAGTAAACTTCCGTAGATTCAAGCTGCTTATCACGACTGATAAGCCTTGGGAATGAAGCAGCCTTGGTCATCCTGATGGACGATGAGCTTTTATCAGGAGAGGTGGAGGAGTGCAACCCTCCTGATTACGCTCAATCTCTTAGACACCACAGTATCCTCCTGGATCAGCTTCAGGGAATGGCAGTTATGGGCACTGTTTTGTAAGTGGTTTGGGTCCTTTTCAGGGACGGGATTGAAGTGAGGATTAGTTGGCCACTTGGCAGGTTGGCTGTGGAGGTGCCACAGTCTTCCATTCTGTCCGCAGTGCTATTTAATATTTCTGAAACCATTGGGAATGGTAATCACTGATGACAGTTGACTCCTAATCTTCTAGACTAATGGTATCTGGGAACACGTGAAGTTAAGATTTATTTATAAGCATTAGCAGAGCAAATAAATTTAATTTAACAGTAGCCTTTTACCAAACATTTACTTCTTTTAAAGCCCCCCTTTTTTTGGTAAGGTACTTTGTGTAGAAGGGATGCGGGTGGCGCTGTGGGTTAAACCAAAGAGCCTAGGACTTGCCGATCAGAAGGTCGGCGGTTCGAATCCCCGCGACGGGGTGAGCTCCCGTTGCTCGGTCCCTGCTCCTGCCAACCTAGCAGTTCGAAAGCACGTCAAAGTGCAAGTAGATAAATAGGTACCGCTCCGGTGGGAAGGTAAACAGCGTTTCCATGTGCTGCTCTGGTTCGCCAGAAGCGGCTTAGTCATGCTGGCCACATGACCTGGAAGCTGTACGCCGGCTCCCTCAGCCAATAAAGCGAGATGAGCACCGCAACCCCAGAGTTGGTCACGACTGGACTTAATGGTCAGGGGTCCCTTTACCTTTACCTTACTTTGTGTGGGCCTGTAGAGTATCACAAGGATTAAGGGTCATTTGGGAGGGAGAAAAATGCATTCAGTTTTCCTTTTGTCACCTTTCATCCAAAACAAACATTTTTTACTCTTCAGGTAAACCATGTGCGCACAAGAGACTTTGACTGCTGTCTGGTTGTGCCCCTTATAGCAGAGTCTGGTAACAAATTGGAACTTGTTATTAGTCGAAACCCTCTAGCCTCTCAAAAGGTAAGCTCAGAACAACAGACTTTCCCGGCTGGGGAATGGAACGAACAAAACCATGCCTTCCTTCAACAAAGTGTACACAGCACTGGTTCAGAGATGAAACGGGAGCCTATGAACACTTTGTAGCCAAAAAAACTGTATTTAGTGCAAAACATTTAAATGGTGCTAATCCCTTTCAGGTTTCTGTTACACTGAAGATGTGGCTGTCGTGTGGCATTAAGAAGCACAGGGGGCGGGGGGCTCATAATTTGCTACTTGCTTCCAATGCTGAGTTTTTTTGCTCTGCTCTCATTTTTTATCACCCATGTGTAGTGCCATTTCAACCTGACCCTTAGTAACAAGAGAAACGAATGGTGAAAATGGCTGTAAATCCTATCATGGCAGATTAGTGAGAGATTTAAGTAAAAAGATTGGGGGAGGGGGGGACCCATCCATGTAAATAATTACAACAGAGGATCTGATTTTCAGAACATTGCAACTTATTCAAATACCAGCTGGTTAACTAAGTGAAGGAATCACAGGCTATTGCTGCTGGACCCAGCTCACTGTATCATAGTAGTTGTTTTTTAAATGAACTATATAGTTCTGTTGCTTCTGCGGTAATGAAAAAGGGGGGGGGTTAAAAGTTACTATGTGGTTTTACAATTATTTTAGCAAAAATTGCACACAGGAATCTGAAGTGCAAAGAGGTGAAACTTTTACTGGCCCAGCTGTAGTATGATTTTATTAAGAGTTATATTATACCCTATGCAATGATGTACTGAACAGGATATGTCTTGCACCCTGTATGGACTTCTAACTTTTACGTATTTGGAACTTCTGATAAATTACTGGTTTTTTTAAAAAAAAAGTAAAACAAGTTTTAGCGAAATTTTAAAAAAAGACTTTTGTAACATGTATTCAAGTAGATTTTTTCTTTGTTTAAATTTTGAACTGCAGTAGCAAAGAAATACCAGTGCAAAACTGTATGAACTGCCCCAGTTTAGGGATATACACAAGTTAACTTGTATAGCAACACACAATTCTTTTTTTTAAATTAAAATGAATGGTACGTGCATTGGTTTCAAATAGCTCATTAACTCTTATTAATGTCAATTCATTTAAAAACTGTAAATACATTTTGCACACACATACACACACACACTCAGATTCTTCCCTTTCCTGCTCAGAGCAATAAAATGCTGCCAGTTGCTTTTTTAGGTTCACCAGCAGCTGCTTTGATTTGTTTATTGTATTGTCAATGGTAATTAATGTTACTTGGTGACTGGAAAAGACACTGGATTTGTCTCTTATAACTGTAGAGTCCTCATTTCTTATTTTAACGACCAGTTTTTCATCTATTTGAATTGTTAGGATATCCCTGATGCTGTTTTCCTTAAACCTGTTACATGAACATGAAAGTGAAACATTTTGTTCATATTTCAGCACTGCCAGAGAAAAAATCATTTAAAACGAAACTGAAACCCAGATCATGAACCACACTTAATATGTATTTTTATTTGTTAACAAAGGAGTATTAAACTAAAGTATTTTTGTACAAATTTAATACTTTAATAGCATGGTATTTATCGTCTATGTATGGTTTCTGGGAACTCAACCTGTTGCAAAAATTTGTATGGAAACTGTAAAAAAATCAAATAAAAATTATTTAAAGACAATGGATTCGATCCTGGGAATTGCAAGAATGAGGATAGCTTGTGGAAGGGGGCTTTCTTGTTACTTCCTTCCTCCTGAACAATGGGGGAGGACTCCACAGAGTTGCTGGGAAACAGGAGATGTTGGCAAAACTTGGGCCAAGGAACCTTGTGCTAGTGAACATGAATGACCATTTACCTTTTGAGAAGTGCGGAATATGCAAATACTTTGACTAAGAACAGCTTCTATAGAAAAAATAATAGATGTTCAAAGAACAAAAAATACGATGCACCATACTCTTTAATACAACTAACATGATTCAACTTTTGAAGTACACCAGTTTTACATTTAGCTTTCCGTTGATCAGAAATACAACACACACTATATAATGTTTACACCCAGCCTATTGGGTCAAACGTGCATATGTGTTTGTTTTTAATACCATGTTTTAGTATTGTAAATTGCTCTATTCCAACTCTATGATTCTATGAAGTCGGTGAGCCTAACCAAAACATCTAGAAGAAGAAGCTTGTAGGCATAATAGCAACTGAATGAAGAAGCACCACGTAAAACAAGCGCTGCATGCCTGTGGAACCCTTTCAAGCAGCAAAAGGTTCTGGTCAAGCAATTATTTGGAATGGGAACGGAATTCAGTTCCCTCTGCTCCCCCTTTCTTGCCAACCCGGAAGTTAATAGCAGCTAGCTATCATTTTAACTTCTGTAAACAAGGAGAATTTAGCTTTGCTGTTATTAGAGCACTGCCAGAGCATTCTGTTAGCGACCCTCACCAGAAGGAAATTGCTCTGGAGAGACCTTCAAAACACTGCTACGAGATGCAGAAATGCATTGTGGAGCAGAAGCAGCTCATAATGTTACAAACAGTGCCTGTTGGGTGTGCATTAGTACAGTGCTGAGTTTGGATTGGATTTTATATCCCGCTTTATCACTCCCCTTAAGGAGTCTCAAAGCGGCTAACATTCTCCTTTCCCTTCCTCCCCCACAACAAACACTCTGTGAGGTGAGTGGGGCTGAGAGACTTCAGAGAAGTGTGACTAGCCCAAGGTCACCCAGCAGCTGCATGTGGAGGAGCGGAGACGCGAACCCGGTTCCCCAGATTACGAGACTACCGCTCTTAACCACTACACCACACTGGCTCTCAATTTCCAAAATGGATTAAGAACAGCAAACAGGGTTAAGATGATAGGCATTCATTCTCTAACTCAGGGGTTGGGAAGGCTCACCTCTGGGGGCCAGAAAGGCACAGCGCAACGCCGGAAATGGCTTCTGCGCATGCCCAGACACCGAAAATCATGCCTGCGCAGAAGCCATTTCCGGCGCCACGGACATGGACAGATACAATTTCCGGCATCTGGGCATGCACAGAAGCGATTTCCAGAGCCGCGGAAGAGTGTCCCACTTTAGCGCAGTGCACGGGGACTCACAGAGCAGGCAGCTCGGTTCAGGGGTTGCTCGTGGGCCGCTTAACTGGTCCATGGGCCTTAGGTTGCCTACCTCTGCTCTAAGAAAAGCCAAACAGCACTTACTAGAAACGAATGCCGCTTAAAACACAGGCGTACAAACCAGAATTACTTGATATATATAGATATAGATATACAATTTAAAAATAGGCCCTCTAATTTTAAAAAGCTAGAAAAAGTATTTAAATATAACTGCAATACTTTTGTTAAAACAGAGTAAAAAGTCATACTCTTTGAAGCTGCAAAACCTCCACGAACACTAAATATGTTCTATCTAAATATATTCTAAAAAAAGAAAAGACATAGCAGAGCATGAAACATCTAGTTATAGAATATACTTGCTAGGGTGGGAAAAGTTGCTTGGCATGTGGACTCTTCAGTGTCAAGCTTTGAAGTTTGGTAGTTGCAAGTGGGGAAGTGTTTTCTTTTACCTGCAAAACAGCAAAAACAGGGGGGAAACAACATTGGTTGTTGGCCAAGCTTATAGCGGGAGGGTGGGGAGTATCGCTTTAAGTAAGGACAGAAAGAATACGGTAACATGAGCAGTAGCCTGGGCTTTGGACACTATATAACAGGAGCATTTACACTGCATACTTCATAGACTGTGAAAATCTATGGCAGGCACTATTGTCAAATGTGTGGTCTCCAGCTACACACTGCCACCAAATGAGAAGGAACTTTTATGGGCAGTAACCATGTCCCAGCCTCTGTTTGGTGTGGAAGGTATTCCAAGGTGGGATATGTAAAGTCTGTGCAGGTTCCTGCTTAAGGGTCTTAAGTGGATGCCTTAGGGATGAGGTAGAATGTGCTCTCCCATACTGCCACCTACACAGAACTGCGGGTGTCAACCTTACAGCATCTACTGCTTGCTAAGGACCCGGGAGCTGCTCAAGCTGTAAGTATTCAATTCTATTTCTCACATGACCAGAGCCATACCCACTACTCCACATGGCATTTACAAAAAGACGTGGTCCCTTAAAAGTGCAATTTTCTCGCTGGGCTTTATCGTATCCCCCACCCACCAATGGGTAGCAGTAATCCTACTCAGTGCTTTGACAGCAGGCCAGATAAATTCAGTTTAAAAGCTCTGCTGTAGCAGACCAAAGGCCTAGCTTGTCCAACATCCAGTTCTCAAAGTTCCACTGCAAATGCATATTCAGAGGCATACTGCCTCCGAGAGCAGTACACAGCCATCTAGTAGCGACTGCTAGCCTTAGCCTTCTATCAGTTCCCCTAACCCCCTTTTAAAGCTGTTCAAGCTGGTGGCCATCACTATAATTTGCGTAATTGGTATGCATTCTTACAAGTGAAAATAAACGCACTGCATAAAATATTATATACGGTATCTTATCTACTGATAAATGCTTCTTACCAAACATACTTTCGAAGGACTTGAGCAAACATCTTGAAATGTAGATTGCCTTTTGAGTCCACCCGAAGTTTCCTCTGCAGTACCAGCAGGTTCAACTTCCATTTTAAGAGAAACAGCAGGTTCCCCTTGATTATTTCCAGAATGAGAAGCAACGTCACACGTGTCATTCTCTTGCTGACTCTGCCAGATCTTCTGAGGTGATGTTTGCTCGGAATGTGCATCTTTCATGAACGCTTTTAAATGTGTTTTCCTGTGGAAACTCTTTTTCTTAATGACCGCTTGGAGTTTGGCTTCTTCAGCAATAATATAGACTCGGCAACGTCCTCTAGTGATAGCTGTGTATACATGCTGCCAATTCTGGCGAGGTGTATCGCCAACAACATATACAATAGTATTTTCCTCAGAACCCTGAAAATTATATGGAGAAAGAGCTCTTGAATTAAACTGTTTAAAAAATGCTTACGGTTGGGTCCAGATTTAGCCATGTATAGAGAAGGTTCACTGAAATAGGTCTTAGTTAATAAGGACTAATTTAAATCCCACTTGTTACTCTAACATGGCTAAGTCAAAATCCAGCTCTAAAAGTTTTACAATAAATTAAAGAGTCTAAATGCTTCAAGTTTTTATTTTTTTTCCTTTACAAAATTAAATAAAGCCATTGGCATCGCCTGTAATTTTTTACCTCAGAAGCAACAAACAAAAATAGACAGGACTAAAGTAAAATTATTTCTGTTTAATTCCTATATAGGCACAAGTTAAGTTTCTGAATCATGTCGTCAGGTCTTGCCTCTTCCTTGGCTTCTTACTTTTCCACACTGGCAGACACACACCTCTTTCTAGATTTCAAAAGTTACTTTCTACTATGGATGCTGACTTCTCAAGTTTATGTTGCAGCAAGGCCAGAACAACTTGATGGCTCTCATCAAAGCTTCTTTCTACCGCAATCCTCTAAGCTGAAGAGTTAAACTCCATCTCACAGATGTGATAGTTTTGAGAAATAAATGCTGCTGTTTTGAATTATGGTATTTCAGCAATGACCCCACAGCTTACCTGAAACGTGTGAATAGTTCTGGCCCAGGCATGCTTTATCTTAGAGTGTTTCTGGAGGGCTTTGTAATGCATGACATACTCAGGTCCATCAGTTATGCCAATAGTCAGGAAACGGCGACCATTGACTTCCTTATCCTATAAACAGAATATGCAATTTCACTGCTTTTCAGTACAGCATTGATTTGCCAGCTGGGTCCTTTACCTTCAAGCAGTCCTTCCACTAGGAACCCAGCCGTGACATTTTCCTGATTACAACACAGATGCAGATATTAAGCCCCATCTGAGAATTCCCTGATCTCCTGTACTTTGAAGCCACACACCTCATTTTACTTAGATGTGTTAAGTTTCCCAGTTCACCTGCCTCCTTCCATTTAAGTGTTGCCTCCTTACCTGAGAATCAGGCACAGAGATTTATTTATTTTTAAGTTTCTAAAAGCAGGCTGATGACAAGTTTTTTTCTGCCACTAAACAACTATTGGATCAGTTGAAGATTTGAGCCAGTGGATACTCATATAGCATCATAATGCCAATTAGATTTTGATAGCAAGGCTTGTCATAATTAAGGCTTTTTGAAACAATTACCACTTATAACGGCCCACCAGATCCACTATCACAGAAGCAGAGGATCTTCCATAAAGAAAACCCCACGACTTAATATCAGCAATCGCCCCTTTTTACACCTACCTATGATAATGAGGTACAGTACATTGCGTCTCTGTCATGGTCTAGAGGTTGGCTGCAATTAATCTTGATTAAGCTTGATTTTACTGCTTGGTTTCTTTAAAGCAAAAAATAATAACCCTAACAAATAACTTCCCCGGACAAAAATTACATAGGCATGTTATCGGACAACAAACCTTGGCTACAGCTTGTGGCTAGCGAAAAGGTAGCTTAACCACAAGTCCCGGTTTGGATGATACAAGAATTCAGCAGGGGATGGGAATAAAAGAGAACACAGGAGCCAAAAGGTTGCAAACTCCTTCCTGGGAATGTACACATTTGCATAGTCCCACAACGTGCAAACCAGGCCACTGTAATGCCACAATTTCTGCTATTGTGACTCCAAGATTTTTGAGCAACGAAATATGGACGCAGCCTAAGAAAGGAGGCAGCTGCCTTTTCA